TATATATATATACTGAGAGTGGACATCATTCCTGAGAGTGAAGATATCACAAAACAATTAACCTGAAGTCAGGAAAAATACCTGAAAATACAGTCTAAAGGTCTATTTTAAAATAAAAAAAGGATCTTCCTCTGACTATGAGCCAAATGTTTGTTTTATCTGATAAAACTGAGTGCTGTAGTTCTGTACAGATGAGTCTCATTGGGTTAAAATGGCTGCTTTCTGATTAGTTTTGCAGTTAAAAGGTGAATATTTGAAACAAGAATCAAAATAAAAAATGAAAATGGTAGTTTCACCACATTACACCACAAACAGTGGTTTTACAAAGACAGATCCACATCCACAATCAGTTACCTTTATTGGTTAGGTAGCTGTGGCTTGCTGGACCACCACCATTAGTAAGAACTGATGCAAAGACATGAGACAAAGCGTCAACAGCAAAACACACACAAGATTTGTTGGCATAAGTTCTTGCCACAATCTTTAACTGTTAGTCATAATGCACAGCTGCACGAGTGAGCCCAAACATCATGCCTTCAAATCAACCGAATGATGTATACCTGACATGTTGGGGGTCTTACTCTTGGCAGGAGATGTGAGAGAAGTGATCAGGCTGCACAATGCAGACCCTTTAGTGTTCAGGTCTTGGACAGCAGGCCCTTTGGACGTCCATTCCTCTAATAAACTCTGTTTAAAGATGAAACAAACAAATTACCAGGTTTGGAGTTTTAAAAGACGTTTTCTTGAAGTAATATGTATGTGAAAAATTTAATTAGAAAGATTGGATTATTATGACCCCTGCACGTAAAGTGGGGGTCATATTGTTTTCGTACTGGTATTAATTTTTTTTCAGTGATTTTTGGTCAACGGTATCGTGGAAATGGCTGCACCGATCAGCATGAAATTTGGCAGGAATGTAGAGGTGTCTGAGCTACACTGCACCAGCCAACGGTTTTACAATAGACCCCATATTTGAGGAGGGGGTACCACTTAAAAAGGAGGTGTCTGATTATATGAAATGTTTATTACTCAAAAACTGTTCAACATACGTAAAAGCTTCAGATTTTAGTTTTTGTTGTTTAGCTCTGATGAAGAGCAACCCATCAGGCCCACCAATGAGTGTTCTGAGTTCTGGTGCATTGGTGCTTTGCATGCGGGGGGTCATGTATGCTACGGCTATGCGGTATCTAGTTTATTGCATAATGTGTTCTGTGATGTATTGTGATGAAAACATGCTTTCCGCTTGATAACAAGGCTTCACTCCTGGATCTATTCTGCATAAACAATCATCACTCATCTGTCATCAGCTGGCAGATAATGCAGGTTGGAACAGAGGGGAGTTTAGGGAGGATATCTGTTAAAATACACTTAAGCGCAAAAAAATACACAAATGTCTGTGTTAGAAATATAATATCATATCATCTGCAGCTTTTGCTCCTGTAAGTGCGTTTAGATGTACCTTCCAAATAACATTGTCTCGTATTAGCCTGTTTATACACTTCATAACTCACAGTGACTGTCTGCAGATCCTTCTTCAGATTTTTCTCACTGCTGCTTGGCTGGGCTGCAGGTACTCTGCCATTGGTCTCTTCCAGCCACTTGGTGAGAGCGCAGACTGCAGATCTGAACTCTCCCAGCTGGTCCTGACAAGACGACAGCTCTTCTTCCCTGCAACAGATGTCAAAATCAATCAAACCACTGCAAAAAAGACCCATCTGGATATGTTCTAAATCATCTAAAGAAACTTACTTTTCTTTAACTGTGTCCTTGAAGGTGCTAAAAATATTTGAGACCTTGTCCATCTTGCTCTGAAGTTTGGCTTTGTTTCCATCATAGCTTATTTCTGACAGCTCCTTCGACAGACTCTGCAGCTTCTCCATATCACTGGCATACTCAGTCATCTCAGTCTTAGTGCTCTGAAGTGAATTTAAAGCAAAAATGTTTGGTGTAAAACAACACAACCTGCCTGAAAGAATGAATGTTACATTTACCTGTGTTAGTTGAGACATTTCGTTGAAGGTTTTCCCAGGTCCGTCTGTTTCCTGCAGCTCTTGAGACCGCTTCATGACAAACTGTTGGATTTTGTCTGAGATGTTTTCAAACTGTTCAACCTTTTCCTTCACTTGCTCCAGGTGGGAAACTTTTTGCTTGTGCTTATCGCAGGCGTCAGTGAAGCGCTGTGAGAGAGAAGCCATCTTTGACTCCAGGAGCTCAGCTGCTGAGGGATCTGCCGTCTCCACAAACTTCTTCACTTTGGCTTTTATGGCTGCGATGCTACTCTGGCGACTCAGTATGTCCTGCTCTAAAGCCTGAAACAAGTTTCATTACATGGTTAAGGTGAAGACCGAACTAGTTTATTAAATACAAAGCATAATTAGAAGCTCTGTGACTGCTTAGGTGATGTAAAGAAAACATACTGCTTCTTTATTGAGCATGTCTCCAATAGATGCAGAGTCCAGGGGTACTTGCTCCTTCTCCTTCACACTGGCCTCCACTCTCTCCATCCATCCCATCATCTCATCCAAACCATCCTGGACACTCATGGAGCGGGTGAGGGTGATTTGCAGTTTCTCGTTGCGGTCACCCACAGACTTCGAAAGGTTGTCGTAGCGCTCAACGATCTCATCTGCAACACACGGAGACAAAACAAACTCCTATTTCTTACCATCTGGAACAAAACATTAGACAATTTATGTACGTATCAAAATTAGTTAGCAAGTTTTTCATCTGACTTGATTTATTTTCTCACCAACTGTCTCCTGGATGTCGTCTGGATTGCTGAGGAGGTTTCCTTCAGATGTTATTAATGATTCTGCTGTTTTTTGTAATGTGTCAATAGCAGTTTGATGTCCTGTCATCTGACCCTGTAAAGCCTGCATATAAACAGTAAAACTATCAGTAAAAACATTTTAACTGCAAACATAAACGACCTTTATCTATATTTATAGTTTTGCATCAAAAAATTATACATTGACGGCAAATATGAAGGACTAATGATATATAAAATCTCAAAAATACTGCTAAATGACAGCACTTCCTCTAAGACTTGATTTTTTTTTTTTTTTGAGCTGCTTTATTTTTATTCAAGCTCAGAGTGCTGTGCTCCTTGGCTGGCTTACAGGTGTCTCTTATCTGGGCAGAGCTTTCCTGTAAATCACCGTCTTCCTTCAAAGAAAATAACTGCAGCCAAAGGCTTTGACAGAGGCTGTTTTGTCAGCTTGTTCTTATTTTCCTCTGCAGAAGTATGTAAGCTACAAATAACCAGGGTTAAACTCTCCACATGTGGTTTTGAATTTGAACACAGAGACAGAAATAGCCTGGTAACGCTGTATATGGTAAGACAGGCCTTTTGTACTATGCACTCAAAACCCAGTTAATGACTTAAGTCCTGCATGTGTTACATCTAAATAACACTTTTCTTTTCCGTAGCTTGACTTCCCCAAATATTTTCACAAAGCTTAAAAGTTAAAATCCAAAATATCTCATTCTCATCAGCATGTTTCTTGCCTTGGTCTCCTCCAGCTGTTTCTGCAGTATCTGTGGATCAGCTGCTATGGCCTCTGATTGTTGCTTCCTTGCTTCCTCCTCTGAGATGTTGAGCCACTTCAAAAGATCAGTGCTCGAGTCGTCGTACGTTTTGAACTTATCCACTACTTCTTTGAGGTTATTGCCAAGCACATTGCACTAAAACAAAAAAAAATGCTTTAACACACAGACTTTTTACAATAACACAGGCATATGTGAAAATAAAGGTTATTAAAAGTAAAATAATCAGCTCATGTCACACTTTAAAGAACTAATAGTTCCCCCTGGTGGTTAAATTTAGCAACAGCAGCTAACTTTCATCTGCTCAACTCCATTGAAATACCTGTGTATGCAGTGTTTTGTATCGGCTGGCTGCTACATCCAGTTTGTCCCTGACAGCAGAACAGGTCCCTGAAGTATCCACGTGCAGCAGAGGATTGGTATCCGCGTGGTCTGACAGTCCACAAGCTTTAGCCACGTCAAGCACTTTCTGTCCCGAAATAGTGATAAAGCGAAGGTCCCCTTTGTGGGAGATCACATCCTCTGCGAAAACTTTCTGTTGCTGGAGCTTATCGGCCAAAATGTTGAGCGAGCCCGCAGGAGCGCTCAGCGTGTCCATCTCCCCTTCGGCCTGCTTCAACCAGCCTTGGAACTCCTCACAGTCCCCCTGGAACTTCTTCAGCTCCTCCTGGACACACTGCACCTGCTTCATCTGCTGCTCAGCCTGGGTCAGGGAGGCCTCGTAGCGCTTCTTCAGGTCTTGGATGTTCTTCTGAAGCCTCTGCTTCTCCTCTGGAGACAGAACGTTGGCTTGCTTGTCGAGGAGAGCCTGAGCTGACTGGGTGGCCATGATCAGATCCTGCTGCTGGGATAGAATCTCCTGGTGGCGGGCCTAAGGAAAAGAACAGACGGAGCAATCATTATTGCTGCAAAAAGAAATAAAATAACTTTGTAATCGTCTTTAAACATCACACAATACAACACAATAATGTGCTACAATACAATACAATATGATGTAATCTGTCCTTCTCAGCATAATATGATCTCAGTTAAAAACTTTGGCATGAAAGGTGCTGAGTGATAAACATTCCCTAAAGCACGGGTCTGCAACCTTTGCAACCTAAAGAGCAATTTATTGTCCTTTTTTCCACTAAATAAAATTTGTCCAGAGCCACCAGACCTACTTGAAGATTATATAAGGATAAAAACTGGAATAACAATTTTATATTAGGTTATACATTTAAAAATTACATGTAAATAAACTAGTAGTGCATTACATTCAGAAGTCAAAGAACTAAATGAAACTGTTGGCATTTGTCAGTATTTTAGGATGCAGAAAAAAAGATGAAGATAAATATTTTTGTGTTGCCCCTTTTGATAAAGTTTAATCACCGAGGGCTGTGAGTCATTAATACATGTAATAGTAAAGCATATATTTGCATCCCAATACATTAGGGAAAACATACTATTTAGGACAGTTTTTTTGGGAGGGGGATATTTGAATATGTCTCTATACGTTGCCAGTGAAATGTTTCTGAATTTTTTTTAATATGCACCTGACATTCCACAGTTTAGATGATGTTTATTATATAAATATGTATTTGTGTAATGTGTTCTGTGATCTGAAACGGCTGAGAAAAGACAGGAGTGGAGGCAAATTTTTTTAATGCTCAGGAGCGAGCAGTAGGGAGTGGTCGTGAGCTCAGAGAACGCATGAGCTGCAGAGGAAGAAACAAAATGTTTTGATAACTGTTTTGTAAAGTTTCACTTTATAAAGTTAAAAAAAGGTAAAGTGCAGCAGATATCTGTTTGTTTTCTCTCTTGCCAAACCTGACTTTTAGAATGGAGGATTATATGTTTAAAGCTCAAACTATTTTCTAAACTGGACTTGGAAGCAGCAGGTAAATTAGAGCCACAACACAGCTGAGGCAAAAGCTCTTCTGAAACTAAAAAAGTAGCTGTGTGGATGTCCTGAAAGAAACTTTTTTCACCCTGCCATTGTTCAACTTGTGACAGTATTTGGACTCAGATGGAATATTGTGAGCAGTGCATGGACCTAAGTTATAAGTAAAGGTAGGAAATAATAACTTTGTTTTAATGAAATGTGCATCAAATGAGCTGCAGTTTGTGTAAAGAACACTGATATGAGATTTGAAACATAACTCATTAACCTCTACCAATCATATGGTGAATAAGTTGCCCTGTAGGCTTCAAATATTAGGGATGTTGACATTTTGTCAGCAGCGGCTGCCATTTTCTTCCCAAACTGCTGTGACCAGATTTTGCAAGGCTGCTCAGTGTGTTTGCTTGTAATTTCCTCCTGCTTCGTTATTTCTACGAATTTCAACAAATCGGGCTGCCGTCAGGTAGTTAGCTAAAGCCTCGTCTTCCAGTTTTAAATTTTGTTGATGCGTTTTGAAGAGACAATTTTTTGAAAAGAGGATCAAAGTAAATCACCCGAGTTTTTCTAGTGGCCCCTTAAAGAGATAAGCTGCCATGAAGAACATTATTTTATCTGCCCTTGTTCCAAAGTTGATAATGATTTGAAACGTGGAAGTATGTTTGACAAATACGGACTTTAAACGTGAAGTTTTATAACATCCACACTGGCGAGGTGGATGCGCCCTGCGCGTGTACCCAAAGCGTGACTTTTGCTGTCCTGCTGTTCTTGTCGTGGAGGGGTCTGTGGGTCAGGGAGGGATCTGTGGGTCAGGGAGGGGTCTGTGGGTCAGGGTCGTCTGAGGAGGAAGCAGATGAATGGAGTTGCGCACAGGAACTTTTATTTAAGATTTAAGTTTTTTTTATTTCAAAGATCCTCATGGCTCAGCAGCAGAAGCGTAAACATTACTGTTAAGAAAGCTGATGATAAAGTTGAATAAAAATCTAAGTCTGATGAAGTGAAATTAAATCTCTGACAGTGATCATTACACAGTGTGGCTCTAATTCCTCTCTTCACCATCTGTGTCGCAGTTTCCCATCTCCAAAATGAGCGTACACATGGGTCAAAGCTGGCGTGAGGCACCGCACATTTTCACGTCAAGTTTGGATTTTATAAATCACAACCTTGGCATAAAAAGTGGCGTATGCAAGTTTCTCGGCTCAAATTGTGCGCACGCCAATTTTATAAATCCAACCCCAGATGTCCACGTGGTTTTTAAATTGTTTTAATTTCCTTACTTTCTAAGACACATTTTGATTTGATGCTACAGTTTGCCTTGTAATGTTATTTTATACCTTTTCTGCTACTTTTGAATTGGCTATTACTAAGTTTTATTAGTTTTTTAGGATACAAGATGCTTCCTACAAAACCAGAATGGGAATCTTTTCCTAAAATTTCATGGCGATATCTTCAACACTGAGGAAGTTATGAGCAAAAATAGAAAACAAGGTGAAATGGTCACAAAGACCCCATTGGTTCTGCTGTGAACTGCAGCAAGAAAACATGAGCTGATTTCACCTAAACAAACATCAATAACTTCCCTCATACTTCAGATAATCACATGATTTTAGTGTTATTTTGTATGGTTTGAAATGTTCTTTTGGAATCCGCTGTCAGATTTAATATTGGTGTAGGATTAAAAATTTATCCACATCCCTACATATATTTCTGATTAACTGAGTGCCTCACCTCTCCATGAACCTCACCACACAGCACTGTTTTTTAGTCACTATAAACTGTTGTGTTTTTCTAATACTCTTTGTTGGCGTATTTTTGCGAGACGAACCCTAACCTGAAACGCAGGGAATGACCGAACAGTTCAGCTGGAAGTTAAACTATTAAAGTGGGAAACTGACAAACTATTGGAGTAAACTGGTTAATGTTAGCTTTTTGATGTGATAGTATCATTCTGTTGGAAAAATTATATCCACACATGGCAGACAACTGGATAGAACTACTAAAATGAGCTTTTCTTGGTTACTTTTGGTCAAAGCTACAAAGAGCCACTGCAGGGGAACCAAAGGTTGCAGACCTCTGCCCTAGAAGAAATACTGGATATTAATTTAATTATTAAATCGATGTGTGAACTATCTCAAACTTTATCAAAATATCTTAACAGCTGACTGTGAAAGATCGATTTCTGCTCTTCATTTCCTCTTGCAAACTTTGCTTTTTACTGTAATGCCGTTAATTTCTTAGAACATTTTTAAATGTTTGGTCTTGTATAAAGCTTGATATATGTTCTGTAAAATGACTACATATTTGTACATTTGCAAACAGCAACATTTTTTAGCAATCAGCAGACTATACCTTCACCCTGTCATACTGTTTATCAAGGTCCAGGGATACATTGTTCTCCTCTTTCGTCTCTCTGCCAAAATCCTTTTCAGAAGTCTGTAAAGCATTTCCATTGGCATCATCATCTTTTCCTATCAGTGCTCTGGCTGAGGTTTCCTCTGGCAGGTTTCCATTTTCTTTACTTATATGGTCAGTTTGATCCAGGCCGTTCGTGTTTTCATTCCCAATGTTGGATATCCAGTCAAGAAGACCTTCGATTTTGTTCTTACTTTCTTCAAGCCGCTCCACAGCTGCTGCCTGCGTCGACAGACCACATTAGAAATGCTGCTGTGTCGTAAAATTAGATTTCTCGTGCAGTGTATGTAATTTTGTAGAACGGCACACACGAACCTTTTCGCTCTCCTGTTTTATAGCTGTTGTAACAATCTTTTCCAGATCTTTTCTGGACTCCTCCGCCCTTTGGTTGATGAGCTTGGCTTTGCCTTTAGCTTCTTCCAACTTGCTCTCGATCACGGCGATCTGATCTGGCGTCAGCTTGCCGCGGTTCTCCTCCAGGAACTTTTTGGTGCAGCTGATCACCTCGTTCAAAGCACTGGCATTTGTCAGCACGTCTTTCTGCAGAGCCTGGAGATCCCACAGGGAACAAAACAGCTCTTTAAGAATTACGATTCCTTCCATGGAGATTTTTTTATAGACCATTTAAACAATGTAGAACCTGATGCTCCTGTTGGTACTGTTGAAGGTCTGTGACACACTCAGCCTTTCCCGCCTGCTGCTGATGACCAATCAGATGGTTCTCGGTCAGAGTGAGATTGTCACAAACTTCCTCCAGCTTATCTGCAAACTCCTTGTGTTTGGCCATTAAAGACTGAGGGAACAAAAAATGAGCAGATCGGTGTTAATTTTGATAATTATAAACATGTGACTGGTCAAATTTATATCTATACTCAGCTCAACATTTCATGTTTTGGACACATATATTATCACAGAGATGAAAACCTTTGAAGCACACAAAAGTGACGTGCAAATTCTGATTTGGATACACTTTTCTTTATCAAAATATTTCAAAAACCAGTATGCTATAAACATGCTGCTTTGCCACTTTTTTTCTTTAGGATAAGCACAGGAAGACCTTTCTTTGAGTGTTAGTGAGTTTGTTGTGCAAAAACTGTTCCATAGTGTTGAGACCTGCAGAATACAAGCAGCACAAAGATGAATCTGCAACAGAGGTAAAACAGTCTAAGCATGCAATGATGTTATTTCTTATAACGTTTAAGATTTAGGAGCAAGTCGACTTGAGCAGAACAGAAAACAAAACATCTTTCAGTGAGTTAAAGATCACATTTGCACACGTCGAGTAGAATAGCTTGCATAAGCTACAACAACAGCAGTACAAGGTCCAACAGTTTTAGTAAATAAATTAAACATTTCAACACAGCTGTTCTTTAGGCACTCATGACATAAATTATTATGAATTAAATTATATTTTAAAAATAACTGAAACTCTAATGATTTCTAAGTCATTCAACTAAAATAGTGTACAAGTAGTGAAAATGTAATTTAATACTAAATCTTTTTTGCATATTTGTGTGTGTGTGTGGGGGGGGGCTTATTTCCATATCAAATTTAAAATAATTAAAAACACAAATTTTCCTTTTTCCTCACTTTGGCTATTTCATGGGTTGTTCTTGCTGTGTCCTATTGTATAAAATGTTTCAATGATTTGCAAAGTACTGTGTTGGGTTTCTTTAGGACTCATGTCAAACTTGAGGCCTGTGGGCCAAATGCAGCCCACAGGTGAATTCCATCTGGCCAGTCAAAAGCCCCCATCCAAATTTATCTATCTATCAATCTATATATTTTTAATTTAAAGTGAAAATACTTATATCATTAGTAAACTTTAAATGTATGTTTCAGTGCAACAGAATAAAACAAATTTAAAAGGTGAAAGATAATAAAACTTGTTCTGTCCCTGAGCTGTTGGCTTGAAACATGAAATGTTGATGTTAGTTACAGCTAGCCTTTTCAGGGCCAACGTAACGCTCACGTGGCTCTCGGTCAAAATAAGTTTGACACCCCTGCTCTAGCAGTTTCACTCTGCTCTTTTATAAACATAATTCATAGCATGTCCATGAGTCAAACCTCTTCCTGCTTTTCTCTCTCTCTGCTGTCCAGCAGGACATCTAAGACACTCCTCTGTGTAATGAGCCTCTCTGTTTGCTCCTTGAACGCTCGCTGTGTGCTGCTGAGGAACTTAAGGAGGTGGCTGCTCTGAGATGGACTCAGAAACCGAGTGTGCTCAGAAACGAAGCACTGGATATCAAAGGTGATGTCCTCTAATTTAAGCCTGGCTTCTTTCACCAGATTCCCCTCGGTATCCTGAAAGTGGAAAACGAAATGTTTTTAGTTTTTTGTTTAATTATCTTTTTGTCCTATCTTCATTAATGGATCTGAGCAGATTTTTAAGACTTTAAATGTACCATATTTTGCTGTAAATGTTTCAATGTGTCCTCATCACACACGTTGAAATCTAGATCCGACATCTCAGGCTGCTTTTGAATGAGACCCATTAGCTCATTAAGATCCCTGAGATGATGTTGGTATGCTGATTCCAAGTGAGACTGAAATCACAAAGAAGTTAGAGATTCATATAAACTGTTACAAACAGTTTTATGGTGTCAGCCATCTTCACACGGACCTTTTCTGCTTCCATCTCTTGAATCAGGGAGTCGTTCCTTTCCGTACACATTTGGGAGACGGCAATAAAAATCAGATCTAACTCCAGATAAGTCGAGGCCAAATCTTGGTGAATTTGGACAGGAATGTCTTCATGAGACGAGTTCAAGAGCTCCTGAGCTTTGGCCATATCTGCTGTCAGAACTCCACCCAGTTTAGACAGCTCAGACTGTAAAGACTGAAAGAAGAATGTATTTTAGATAAGAAAATAAAACTGAACACAAAGTCTCACTTAAATGTCTAACCTGACATTCCTGTATTTGGATCTGCAGTTCCTCCATGCTATTCCCCACAGGTGTCTGCATTGAAAGGTCTTTTTTTACATCTTCTAAAACATCAGCATGATCCTGCAGTCTTCCAACACATTCCAGGTACTCATGGATGGAAAACAACTGTGGGAAAAGTAAACACAAATTAACAGTTTTTCATTAGATATGCATGACACCAATGGGTTGAGGACAGTCTAACGTATTTAACACAAAAATGCTCAGTTTTAATTTTGACCTTTTTGGCTTTGCAGGCATCTGAGTCATTCATCGTGTGAGCAGACGACTGATGGGTTTTTGCAGCAGTGTGACCGGCATCTTTGTCCTTTCCTGCTAACTTCTCCTCCTCTTCCTCTGAGCTCTCTTCTTTGATGCTGTCCAGTGTGTGAAGCTGGTCCTCTTGTGATTCCTGTAACTGAGTTTCACTGCTCAGACTCTCCACCATTTCTTGAAGAACTGAAAAGTCCTCGTTAAAGGAAACGGTATTAAAAAGCTGCAGAAGCTGCAGTTGGACATTTGGAGCATGTTCTGTGTTCTCACAGACTTCTTCATCCTGTGATGCCAGTTCTGAGTTCTCCACATTTTTGTTGTTAGATGTAAGAATGTTTTGCTTCATCAAATCCATGACAGTATCTGTAACAGGGATCTCCATCAGTCCAGGAGGTTTGTTGCTTTCATTAAAACTGCCTTCTTCTACAGGCTGAAGATTAGCGCAGTTGTTGACTTGAGCTTGTGGCTTTTGCAAGTCACTGAAATGAGTATGTTCTGTGGTCACGTCTTCCTGCTCAACTACCGGAGACTTAACACGGATACAAATCTCGGACCAAGTTGACGAACAAACAGCAGATGGAACACAGCTGCCTGATGGGACAGGCTGACTTGTTCCTTCCAAATTTTCTCCCACTTTGGTTTCAGGTTGCACCAGATCAATGTCCGATGATGCAAATGGTGGATTTAAGCAGGACGTACTTCCATTATTACTGTCATTCTCCTGTTTGGATTGTGAGACCTGCTCAGGTTCACTTGGGACAATGAAAAAGTTGTGTTGCCTCTCTGGGGAAAGCCTCTCTTCATATACCTTCACATCATTTAAACCACTGTTTATAGAGTCAGACAAATCAACATCAGTAAAAACTGAAATTTCCATATCTTTGCTCATTTGATTGGCGGAATTTGCTGTACTAATGTCACTACAAAACGCAGAAAAGCAGGAGGAGGAGTTTGATTGCTCTGTGGGATTTTTCCCTGTAATGCAGCAGCTGTCTGACAAGACAGGAACTTCCTCTGGTTGACTGGGAGATTCTAAATCTTTTCCCATTTTTATCTCAGGTTGTACCAAGTCAAAGCGTGATGATACAGAGATTAAATTAAGGCCATTCAGCTCGTCATTACTGCCGTCCTCCTCTTTAGACATGGCAGCCTGCTCTGTGTTACTTGGGACTATCAACGTGTCATCGTGTTGCCTCTGTGGGGAAAGCCTCGCCTCGTGCAACTGGACAAGTTTTGCACAACTGGTATTTGAGCCTGACAAATCAGTATTAGCCAAAGATAAAGTTTCCATATCTGTGCTTTTGTGACTGACAATAATTCCTGTGTCCAAATAATTTAAAAAAGCAGGTAAGTCAGAAGAAGAGTTTGATTGTTGTGCTGGTATTGGTTCTGTAATAGAGACTTCTGACAGCACAGGAACTTCTTCTTGTTGACTAGAAAATACTAAATCTTCATCCATTTTGGTTTCATGTTGTACCAAGTCCAGTTTTATTGTTCCAGAGGGTGGATTTAAGCAGGACAGACTTTCATTTTTGCTGCCATGCTCCAGTTTTGATATTGAGACCTGTTCAGTGTTAGTGAGAAATAAAGTGTCATCATGTTGCCTCTCTGGGGAAAGCCTCTCCTCGCTTGTCTTTGCATCATTTGCATTATTGATWATTGCATTTGATAAATCGTTTATAGTTAAAGCTTCTGTATTACTGCTCCTATAATTGACAGTGTTTGGTGTATTCTGAACAGCAGGTATGTCAGAGTTTAGCGTAGGTTTATTTTCTGTAACACAGCTTTCATACAGCACAGGAACTGTGTCTGGTTTATTAGGAGATCCGAAATCGTCTCGCTGGTTTGTTTCAGGTTGTACCAAATCAATGCTTGATGGTACAGAGGGTAGATTTAAGTAGGGCACAGTTTTATTATTACTGTCATTCTCTTGTTTTAATGGGATCTGCTCAGTGTTCGTCGTGACCGTAAAGATTTCTTTATTTTGCTTCTCTACAGAAAGCCTCTCCTCATCTAACCTCACATCATTTTCACCACTATATCTGGATTTAGAAAAATCATTATTAGTCAAAGCTAGAGCTTCCACATCATTGCTTGTGCGACTCACTGTGTTTGAGTCAATGAAAAAAGCAGATATGTCAGGAGAGTTTGATTGTTGTGCAGATTTGTCACAAGCAGGGTCATTCTGGCTCGGGATGTTTTGGCAGCAACTAGACTGAAATCCAACACTTTCTGAACAAAGCATCGTTTGCTGAGGCAACGCAAGGCTGCTGCCATCGTCTGGACACTTCATGTCAAAGTCTTCAAGATCCCTTGAGAATACGGTTTTTGTCATTTCAGCCAAATTCCCAGGTGAGGATTTACCTGGCTCACTGCTCAAAGCCGAGTGAGCATCACTTGTGTTACTTTCTGTTCTACTTTCCCCAAACAGATCAATGTGAGATAATAAAAATGTGCCAAATTCCCTCGCACTACCTGCATGAGTTTTCTCCTGGGAATCAAGTTCATCACTGAAAAAAACATCAGTGGGCTGGTTGTCAGACTCCGGACCGTTAAAAGGTAGAGGGATGTGTTGCGCCTGGTTTTCTGAGTCAGGATTTGAGGTGCTGTCACTCAGACATGATGCATTTAAGTGCATTGCTAGAGCAGAGTTCTCTATCACACTGCACTCATCTGCCGCATCTGTCTTCTCTCTATTGATCATGACCTGTGAGTCACTGTCTGCCAGGAAAGCCTGTTTATCTTCGTGAGAATCACAGTCTGCGGTAACCTGACTCCAACGGGAAGGTGAGATCATCACAAATTCATGACCACTATCTGCGGAAAAGGATTGATTCACAAGAATCCTATCTGTTTCCAAATGTCTATGTTGTTTTGAACTCTCTACCTCTTCATTAGCCCTTTCATTTGGTAAATCAAACACTGTGTCAACCATCTTCCTCTCAGTTCGCTGCTGCATGTTTTCAGTTCTGTAAAGATTATTTAAAGCCACAGTTTGATCTTCAGATTCATCAGAAAAGTAGTTTATTTCTGGATAAATGCTAGATTCGGAATCTGAGTCCAAATTTTCACCTGATTCAAGCTCCAATGTCTGATTAGGATTGCGATCATATCTCAAAAAGCTTTGGTCTTCTTGGGTTGCATGTTTTAGACTCAAAAATGTGTTTTCCTCACCACCTAAAACATCTGTTTCATCAAGTAACTCCAGTTCATCCAGCTCCAGTACTCTGTGCTCCTCTGTGAGGTCKTTTGTAGATGAGCCAGAGATGATTTCGACAATGCTTGATTCATCTACTTGCGCTTGCATAAGTTGGAAAGCATGCTCATATTCACTTTCAATTTCCATCACATCAACAGAGCAGAAAGGTTTAGCTTGGTGCATGTCATCACTTTCTGATTCACTGCACAGTGACTCAGCATCACAGCGTGGCAGCATCTGATGAACCGTGGCCTCATTTGCAAATATCTTGGATGATGAGTCAGGGTTTTTATTTTTAACAGGGCATAACGTGGAAACAAATGGCACTTTCAGACATGGAGCATCATAATTTTCTCTAACATCTTTAGTGTCATGTTTTACACTATTTTCACTCATTTTCTCCTCAGAGTCATCAGATTTTGCCCATTTTTTGCTGTTCTGAAAGCTACCTCTTCCCACTTCATCAMGTTCTGTGTTATTCATGTCAGTGCAATCAACTGCAAAACATGCCTTTACAGGTTCTTGATTTGGAGAATTGTCATTTACGACAATTTGTTTATCAAATATCACTTCCGTTTTGCTCAGACAAGTGGAACTATGAGGCTCAAATGCCTGGATTATGTTTTCATCAAGCGTATCCCTGCTGTCCGTCTGCATGTTTTTTATTACCTTTCCTGTTTCCTCGTTTATTTGCAACAATACCTCAACATCTGCCTGTTCTGARTGATCACTGATGTTGAAAGTGAGATTTTGAGAAAATATTGGGTCTTTAAGAAAAGCTTGAGTCGTTTCATTTAACCGACTGTCGAATATCAAAACCCTCTGAAGTGACCTCGGATCAATGTAGCTGTTAATCATCAAGTATGAAATGAATAACTGTCCTGCCTCTGCGGGAGTGAGGAGGTTCAGTTCGGAAACATCTGCAGGATGACACCATCTATCAACTGCTAGTTTTTTATACATAAGCCATGTTGAATACCTTTCACTGAGGTGGTGAATGTCAGGAAACTCATCAGGAATTTCAACAGATTTCAGAATGTCTGCTGTGCAGCTGTCGATGAAACCGTTTTCAACAGCAGAGGTGATTTCTATTACTTCAGAACTTTCTGGAATGTAAAAAGCGGCTATTTTTCCTCGATTACTAAACAGTTTGCTGGTGTACTCGCTGTTGGTCATTTGCTGGAATGAGGAGGACATAGTTACCCCAGAAAGAGGCAATACAAGTCCCATAAACTGCTGTTGATGTCCCAGCACAATAAGAGTGCTGCTGGAGTTCATCAAATCACACTGAACCGCTACATCCACTCTCAGCTCACCATCGACACACTCTGATACATCAGCTACACTTTCATGCTTTAATGGTGTTGATCGGGTCTCGTGATTATTTAAACCACCACACGCAGACCTCAGAGTCTTCATTTTCCTCTCTGATGCCAGTGATTTGCCTCCACTGAGACACTTCAATATCAGTCCATTAACCTCACTATGATTAACCTTCTCTTCAGGCTCAAAATGCCACAAATTTTCAGCCACGCCTAGCGTCTTCACATTCTGACAAGCCTTCTGCCTCTGCAGAACCTTTACATAGACAGAAGCAGGGATTAAACCACACCCAAATGCTTTCTCCAGGGTCAACACATCCCCTGTGTTGCACACATTCACTCCACCACTGACCTGGGTGGTTTCTATAAGTTTAATGACCAAAGCCTCACCACTCGATTCTTCCCTAACTGCTGCTACATCAGACAGGGACACGGAGGCGAAATGTGAACTTTGTATGTATTTGTTCTCTTCATCCTCTGGGAAGGGGTTCATTGTGGGTGTGTGCATGTGATTGTTTGTTAGACTTTTATCCCAGTCCAGATGGACCTGGGGCTCAAACAGGAAGAAGCTGGGGCTCGTGAGGCCGTCTAGAATAGTGACAGGAGGCATTTGATTAGACGGTCCAGTTGTGGTTCCAGCACCAGTCCCATTAGAGATTTTTGAAACCTGAAGGGGTAAAAAAAAGCACGGCAAGTTACTTAACTGGCTTTGAATTCTAAATATGTATTTTCTGTGTTAGATTTTTTGTTCAAAAGCCAAACTAAATCTATACTCACCGCTACACAAGCACGGGCATGTTTAAAACAAAGTGTGCAGAAGAGCAAGACTGCAACAGGGTTACAACTGGAAAGTGATGCGTAACACACAAGAAAGCTTCCATGCATTTAGGAATGCAGTGTCCAGCATCTTGCAAAAAGAGTTGTTAGTTATGTTGCAAACTGTAAGGCTACATCTCATATCTACTGTCATGTTGAACTCTATGAGCGCTCTAGCACATTGATAATAGTGAAGAGCAACAGTGGCACAGTGAAGCATGTTTACAGCATACTCAAGTTTTCAACTGAACAAACCCTGGATTTTGTCACTCGTGATTTGGTTTAAGAACACAAGAATGCAAGAGGACACTGTCCGCAGGAAACAATTAGGAATAGATCATGCAACTGAACGTCAGGATGCCTTGTTTGCATTATAACACACAATTGCATCAAATGCAATTTAACAAAACACCTATAGAGGCCAACCTCGTCTGCAGAGGTTGTCTGGTCTGAACACTGTTGAGTGAGTTCTCTGTAAGCCTGACTGAGAGCCTTAAGCTGCTTCTGGGTCTTCTCTCTGTCCTCTTCTGTCATCCTGAAAAAATAAACACACAAATAAAACTTTGATCTTAAAGAGAAAACCAATATTCTACATGCAGGTCGGGGCATTACTACCTACTTGTCACCATGTTTGTTAAGCATCATTTGTGTGGCCAAGAGCGCTTCTTGAATCTGATCCTTTTTAGACACCATTTCCTCAACAGACACCTGTAAACAGTGACAGGTTCAGATTTTAAAGGCTTTATTTAATAAACACTTTGTGTAATCTGACTGTAGCTAATAGAGATAACAAACCATACAAAAAATATGTGATTTTTTTTTCCAATTGCATTACTCTGATGATTTGAATTAATCAAATAAAACTTGTCTTTCAATAATTTAGGCTACACTGCAGACATCAGCAATTAAATAAAATATAAAACCCTGACATAAATATGTAAACAATTTAAAAGATTTGCAATAAAATAAACATTTTTTTAATTTTTTTTTCAATTGTGGTAACAGAGTTAATATTATACTGGGGTTGTTTTGGAACCTGTAATTGATCAAGTAATAATTTAATTTATAATTTATCACAGATTAAGAGAATATTAAAACCACATTCTCTGTGGTAAGAAACGTAGAAAGTGTTTAAAATTTTCACAAAATTTAAAGATTTGTTAGACTTTATTTATAAAAAATATACTTTTCCATGTGCACAGTGTTAAAAAAGTATAACTGATTGATAACTGATTTATTGACTATTATAAATCTTGTTATTAGATACATTTGCGGAATTATCTGTTGAATGTTTTTTCAAGCAAAAATAGCAAATACACTTCAAAAATTTAGCAAAAGTTTATATTTTACTCTTAAAATTTCTTTTTTAAAATCCATTGGTTAGACTGAATCATGTCACCCATCGCAACAATACTGCTTTTTATCGTATGTTTCAGYAATTTATACTAGGGTATTTTATGCTTTTAGAAGCAGAAGTTATTTAAAGATTTTAACAACCCATGGGATATTTAGTTTATCAATAATTGTGCTTGTGCAACATAGGATCTGTTATTATAAGGATCTGTTATTATTGTGTCAGTTCAAGTTGATTAAAATAATCAAACATGCAATAATAAATATTTTATTAACCAAGTGTTTAGTCAGGTCATTACATTCCCTGAAGTGTTTTATTAGAAATCATACACCGTGACAAAAAATGGCTTTTGAAATCAGAAATGTCTCAAGTACAAATTAGGATGTCACAAACACATGTTATTTACCTGGTGTTTATTTGAAGCGTCTGTGTTGGCATTACTATCTCTCAGAGCCTGCCCATCATTGCTCATTGTCTGTTTCACATCGGACACCCAGTGCAACAGTTTGCTAACTTTATCCCCATGCTCTCGCTTTTCCTCATCAACAGATCTCTAGAGGTAAAACAGGTTCAACAAAACTGTCAACTTTGCTTCAAAAAAGAAAAACACGGGGGTTTTCATTGTTAAAATATAATATTCATAAAAAGGTCAAATAAAAACTCACAAAAAATGATCTGTTACTTGAAACACAACATTTAAATGAATGAAATGTATGAATCAAAGAGAAACAAAAAGCAGCAAAACAAAACCAAAGGAAGTTTTATCTGCAGGTTTTGCTTTCATGCACACATTTACAATTGTTTATTGATATGCCCAGAGATAATGAAAGGCTGTTTTGGCTCCATAGCCGAGAACTTTGGTAGCCTCCAGTAATCTTAACCCAGTGTGACAGTCAAAAACGCTTCTTTCCAGTGCCTCTTTGAAAGTGATTTTTCTCTTGGTCTTTGGACAGGTGAGACTTTTAGTGTGGAGCTTCTCATCTTTAAGCATGGCAGCTGTAACTTTATCAACAAAGCCACTTTGAATGACTTCCTCAAGGGAGACTCTGTCACGAGTACCAGGATTTATCATCCCGCCAGTTAAGAGCTGAAATTCAATACAGCGAAAGCCCACATCCTTTGGGAGGAGATTCTCCTGAACAGCCTCGAACACGGACAAAACTTTCCCGGTCTTAGGATGAGTAATGCCATTGAATGCCTGCTCAAACTGCTGGAGCTGCTGTTTCACTGATTCATCAACAAGACCTCTTTTCAGAGCCTCAAGGAGGGTAACTTTCTCCCCAGACGAGGGGTCGCAGATACCTCCAGTACAGGCCTGAGACTCGAGGAGCTGTAAAGCTGTAACTCTGTCAGTGAACCCCTGCTGGAAGCCCTGGAAAACTGAGAGCCTCTTCTTCCGGGTGATGTCCCAGAGACCGGCGATGGTGCTGTTTGCATCGTCCACAACAACCCTTCTCGAAAATATGATATCTGCAATCTCATAGATACTTAGAAGACCACTCTTATAGCTTTCAAGCTCAGATGCTTCAAGAAACCTCTGACTCAAAGCAGACTCTAAACAAAGCTGTCGGCCACTTCTGGAATCAGTAATAATGTGACGTGGGCTTCCATTGGGGTCAACTATCGAGTTTTCCTGCCATTCGCTTTCCTGCTGCGACAGAAACAGATATGTCCTCTTGTCTATGTGTTTCCCCTTGCACGCTTCATACACTGACATTTCAGATCCACAGCTGCTGTTGACAACGGACACTCGATGGGGGGTGACAGGAGATGTGTTTGTTAAGTGCCTTTCTCCAAATGGGATGAGAAAGACGCCACCATTGAGGTCATACAAGCTCGTCTTTAGTATTTCCTGGTAGTATGCCTTTTGTCCCGTGTCAGGGTTGTGGAAACCTTTAGGATTACTCACTGGATCATAAAGACTCTGCAGAATCTCTTTGTTCAAAAGGCCCTGATTTACAGCAACAAAGACTGGCACTCTGACACCTGTCTCTGGCTGAATCAACCCTCCTGAAGCAACCTGGACCTCAAGGATCTTCTTAGCTTTAGATTTATCCAAAATCCTCTCCTCCATGGCCTGAAACACTGACAGCTTTTTGCCCTTATAGTTGTAGCCATTAACAGCTTTCTCTGCCTCCACCAGTTTGTCTTTCATACCTGCATCTATGATCCCTCTCTCCAGAGCCTTGACAACTGAGAGCATTTCTCCTGTGGCCAGATCTACAAGACTGCCTGTTGCAGCCTGAGCTTCAAGAAACTCAAGTGCATATGTCTTTGCGAGGAAGCCCTTTTCGGCAGCTTCTAGGAAAGATATTTTTTTCTTACTCGACTCCACATAAACTCCAGCAATCGTAGTTGGTTTGCCAGTCAGTTGTTGGGCAGATGATGCCTGCAGCTGCTCCACGGTGATGAGGCCCATTTCCAGCTTTCGTATAACCTCTTCGTCCAAGAGCTTATATTTGATCATGTACTGAATGTTTGCACTCGCCTCCGATTCTGTGAGCTTTTGGGAACTTGTCAGTTTTCCGCCAAAGTTTGCGGATAGGTTTACATTTTCACACGTTTCTGTGATTTGATACGTTCTTGCCTTACTGGCGTTGGTTTCACTCAGCTGTTGGTCTGTTAGTCCACAAAGAGCCATGTATCCCTGTGGTGTGACAGAGCTGGGAAAATCAGATAAAACACTGCTCTTATGAGTCAGATGTTTGGTATCTTTTGGTTGAATGGTGGAAATGTCTTCCTTGGCTTGTTTAATTCCTTCAAGAATACTGCTTCGCTCCATTGTTGCCATCTGTAGACATGACATTGGAAAAACTTTTAAGTAATGAAAATCCAGAGTCCAGTTACAACTGTTAAAACAGCTCAAACATCATATTATACAAGCTATTATACTATGCTACAGTAATGCTAATAGCTTCCATACCTCTTTTGTTTTAAGTGTTTCTTCCTCCATGCTGTATTTTGCACCTTTAGTGAAAGATGTCTTCACCATGGGATCTGTCTTCAACAAATCAGCTTTGCTGTTTGTCACTGATTGGTGACTGGTTTTCACTGCGTCCACTCTGACTGTTGAAAGTGTTTCCTGAAGACTTTTCACCTCCCTGACGTACAGCTCAATTTGTTCCCGAAGCGCTCTTGCTTCATTTTCTTTCAGAGTCAGCTTCCACTCGCTGTCTGTCAGCAGCTTTTCAAACTTTGCTTTTTCAACTGACTGTTGGTTGCAAAGGCTTTGCAGGGAACTGATTTTAGAGGCGAGTCTGACTTTTTCTTCTTCCAGTTGGATGATTTCTGACTTTGCTTTGGACAAGTCGTGCACAAGCTTTGTTCTTTCTTGCTGATGTTCTGTTTTTATCAGCAGCTCTCGGTCCATAAGTTGCTTCGACTCCGRTGTGGTTTGATGCACGGTTTTAATCAGTTTCACATCCTGCTTCAAATACTTGTTGAGCATCTCTGTTAATTCTGCCCCGCCCGATGGCTGGCTTTCTTTTGTGATCTCAGACTGCAGCAAAATCATTTTTTTCTCAATTTCACTCTGCATAAGCAGCAACTGCTTCTCATAGCCTTCTTTCTGGAGTTCCAGTTTACCCTTCAGTTCCTCCAGCATCTTCTTGCAATTGTCCAGTTGTTCCTCCATCTGTTTGGATCTCATTTGAAGAGACGCGTTTTCTTTTTGCTTTTGCTCGACATCTGATTGGGCATGTTGCAGCCTGTCTTTCAGAGACCTGACTTCAGCTCCTAGTGAGATGTTTTTCTCCAATGTCTCAGATTTCTCCCTCTTCAGGATCGTATTCTCATGCTGTAGATTTGATCGAGATTTGTCCGAACTGGACATCACTTCTTTGATCGTTAAGCTATTTTTCTTAAGCTCTGTCTCGAGTAATATGATTTTGGAGTCTTTTAATTTTCTTTCTTTGGTCTCTTGAGCCAATTCATCTTTTGCTCTTTGCAGGGATGAGCTAAGCTCGGAAATTCTAACATTCAGGCTTTCTATTTTTTTCTCAGCTATGGTCTTGTCACTCTGAAGTGTTTTTATTTCCTGCTTAAAGTTTTCTATCACTTTCTCTGAGCTGGCTGTTATTCCTTTAAAACTATGCTTGTTCTTGAAAAGCTCATCTTCTAATGCTCTGATTTTAACGAGATGTTTCTGACTCTCACCAGATTCTTTTTGCAGCTCTGCATTTTTTATCTTTAGCATCTCATTTAAATCGTCAATTTCAGCTTTTTGCATGTGGACCTTTTGATTTACCAGATTGTTTTCAGCAAACAATGACTTTAGTTCTGATTTCAAAGTTGTAATCTCTTCCTCATAACTGCTGATCTTTGAGCTGAGAGATTGAGTTTTTTGCTGCACATCAGCCATTTTCTTCGCCTCTTCGCCGAGTTCTTGCAGTTTCATCTGGAGCTCGTAAGTGGTTTGGGATTTCCTGTTCAGTTCTTCCTCAATAATCCTGTTCTGGGATTTAGTGCCCTCTACTTGTGACTTATAGATTTGAATTTGCTGATCTTTGCTCTCAGTCTCCATTAACACTTGATCGAGTTTAGTCTTTGCGTTTTTCAGATTCTGCTCCATTTCTAAATTGATCTGCTTTAGCTCGTCTATTTTCCTCTGCAGCTGAGAAATAGCTATTTCACTTTTTTGAAGCTCCGCCTCCAGATTTTTGCATTTGCGCTGCAGCGCCTGCTCAGATTTCTTCATCACAACGCTTTCTTCCTCGGATGTTTGAAGCTGTTGTTTCCAACTCTCAACTTCTCTCTTTAAAGACTTGATCTTTTGTTCAGAAAGTGATCTCTCTTTTTCCAGTGACTCAGTTTGGATCTGAAGGCCTCTAATATCACCGCCAGAGGAGACATTCATCCTCGTCAACTCATTGCATTTAACATTCAGCTGATCTATTACTGCCTGTTTGGAAGCTACCTCTTCCTCTAAGTTGTTAATCTTATATGTGTTTTCCTGCTCAATTGAACTTTTCTTCTGCAGCTCCCCTTGTGTGATCTTTAACTGCTCTTTCAGGCCTTCGATTTCAGTGCTCTGGAAAAAGGAGGTTTGCTCTAATGAGGACTTTGCTCTTTGGAGGGATCTGATTTCTTCCTGAAGGTTGATGATGGATTTCTTCAGGTTCAGTGTTTCCTGTTGAAGCTCCTCTGCTTTCTGTCTCACCTGGGTCCTTTCACTCTCCAGGTCCATCTGAAGTTTCTTCAGTCTGTTGTTGCTGTCGTCCAAGAGCTTTTTATAGCTCTGAGCTTTCTCTTCGGCCATTTCTGCCTTTTTCTGGACCTGAACCAGTTCCTCCACTTTCTGCTGCAGAACGTCGTTCATTCTGTCCGCAGATGACCCCAGCTGAGCGTCTGATTCTGGCTGGCTGTCGAGTTCCAAAGGCTGCAGATCCTCGGTTTTAGACTGGACCTGACTTAGCAACTCCTCCTCTGCTGCAAATTCAACTCCGTCCACGTTTGTTTTTTTCTGGAGCGAGGTGCTCTGCATATTTAAGACTTGACCCTCGTTTTCTTTTTTCAAGAGCTCCTCGAGTTTCTTTTGAGTCACGGACCACGTGGCCTCGGACTGCTCATATAAAACTCTGGTTCGCTTTAATTCCTGCTCGGTAGCAGCTTTGTCTTTAATTACAATTTCTAATTTCGTGTGATACTGAATAACATCTTGCTCGAGCTGCGACTTTTGAAGGTTTATGGCACCGATGGTCTTTCTTTGGGTTTCTAGTTCTCCTTCCAGCTTCTCCACCTGCGCTTGTTTCTCTGTGAGCAAAGCCTCCTGTTCCTGGATTCGTTGCTGAAGTTGTCTAATCTCTACTTCTCCTCTGGCTTTTTGCAGCTCCACGCTTTCTGTCCACCTTGCATTCTCTGCTCTTTCAAAAGCCATTCTGTTCTAAAATGCAAAACAATCAGTCATTCACTATTAAAGAGAAACTGTGAAACGTTTGCATGAATATCTTTCTGAGAGTTTGCAGGTTCATCAAAAATTAAAACAGTAAACATTATGTCACATGTAAAATATTAGATTTTTTAACATCCAAAAAGCCTGTTTATTATTGTGCTGTACTAACGACTTCAGTGCAAGTGCTAGTAATTCACAATTATTACTCAAACTCTCAGAGAGATTTCTGTTTAATAATGACAAAAGAAGCCAAAGGGGGAATAAACCTTCTCCAACTATAGTCACTATCACCAGCAAGGTGTGACTGAACATACAGCCATGCTCTGCTTTTCTGCATTAAATTTGCTTCTTTTGCACACTGAAGCAAATTCTCTTCACCCCTGATGAGCTGCTGAACAAATAGGTCAAAATGAGCAAGAAATAAAAAGCAAAGCATGTGGACGTTGATTCGAAAGAGAACTGAAAATTCTGCAAATATTCACACAGGAAAATAGAAGTGAAATTAGAAACTAAAGAGACTAACAAGCTCCAAAAGSTAAGCGGCGAGTTATAAAATTGTACCTCCTCATCTTCTGTTCTCCTCAGAGTTTCACTGGCAAACTTTACATACTGGGTCATTAGAGTCACAAGAGCAGTGTAACGGGTCCGAAGATCCATAAACTATGTGGGGGGGAAATAAAACAGACAAATGTGCTGCTGTGTGAGAACTGTTGAAACAGAATAATTTTGTTTGTGATTGAAGTCAGAATAGTGTTTTACCTCCTGCTMAACAGCATCAGAGGAGCTCTGGATCCTCCGCTTCTTCAGAGGAGATTTGTGCTGGGAGTCGACCATCGCCCTGAACGTCATCAGCTGAAGTTCATAATCCTAAAAAATACATAGATCTTTAAACAGATACTTCCTTCTTTTTATTTATTTTTTTGTTAAAACAAATGTTTTCAGAATAAATCTTGCATTGGATGTCTTCCATAAAACATAAATAAATGGGTGAAGGTTTTATTAAATGCGAGGGTATTATGTATTTTCCAGGCAGATAGCTCAATTCTATACCACAAGCAAGTAACTATGTTACCTTTTAGTTGTTATGAAAATGCTTTATTTATTAAAAATAAATTTGGCTTGCATCATGGCATGCATGAATGAGTCAAAGCAACACCCTGGGTATGTTTTTGATGAGAAAATTACATTTTAACATGATATAAAGTTCCACAAAGTTGATTTAGCATAATACCTCCCCTTTAAAACATATTCTGCTAATACCCACAGAGTAAAGCTGATTAATTTTCACATAATACTTACAGTAAGCAAGGCGGCTTAAGTCTTACTAAAGTAAAAATAAGGTTTGATAATTTGTTAAAATGAGTTACCTTAATAGAAGAGGAGTACTGCTCTGAGTACTTTTGACATTCGTCAATCCTGCTCTGTTTTTGTTCAATTTCAGCAACGAGAACCTAAAAGTAAAACACATTTAAAATAACATTTCAGCGCATTTAAGTATTTGTTCCAGGGTGAAGAAGTTCAGAGTTATTTCACCTTTTGTTTGTTTAATAGCTCAGCAAGAGCTTTGCTGTCATCAGGTTTGTTTTCTTGGGCCTTTAGCTGCACCGTTTCCAGTTCTCTGATCCATTCATCGAGACTCAAGTAGGAGTCTCTGTAGTGTTTCAGAGACTTGCTGATGCCATCCAGATCCCGGAGTCTGAGATTGATAAAGAAGTTGCAATAAACCTACCATGCTGTGTTTGCGTGCACCTCTTGTAATAGGCAGAAAAACACAAAAACTGCACAAACCTGCTATCAATCTGCAAATGAATGTTCTGCCATCTCTCACTCAGCTGATCCGCCTTCTCTTTGTGCCAGTCCAGATCAAAGTCCCGCTCGTTGTGGGCCTTGAACATGCGGTCGCTGATGACACGAGCCTTCTGCAGCTCATCCTCCATGTCATGGAACACCTCCTGCCTTTCATCGATCTCTGTCCGCCATTGCTGGGAACAAAACAATGGTTGGTTAAAACAGTAGTAATGTTGATAACCTGGTCTACATTAAAAAAAAATTACCTTAAGTGTAGAAATGACACTTTCAATGGATTTGATGTCAGAGTTTGTGGCCTCTTCTTCATAAAGTTTGGACTCGTAGGCTTTAACAAGAGCATCCGCGCTCTGACTGTGCTTCACCACTAGACTCACTGTCTTCAGTCTGCAAAAACAGAAACATTACTTCACTTGTAACACTTTTCCTTCCTCTGAATTACACTGAGACACTGAAGAAAGTCTCTTACTTGTCCATATAAATGGAGGACATGGAGTGCACTTGGTTCATGCTTTGAAGGAGGACAGAAAGCTCGGAGGAGAGCGTCGACGCAGATGGAGAACCCGCGGCCTGGCGGAGGAACACCTCGCACTTCTCCTTCAGGACGTCCAGATCATCCTTCATCCTTTCCAGCTCAGTTGTCTTCCTCTGCAAAGTGGCAAATAGAGAAGTGAGGTTAAATTATAAGGACACTAGATTACTTGGAGAGTTTTAAAAAAATAAAAATAACACTTTGATGTGCACCTGGTGCTCAGTGATGCGCTGCAGACTCTGCTCCAGGTCGTCTCTTTCCAGCGGCGTACGGATTTGCCTGATCAGGTGTTCTTCGTGGGCCTCCAGGTGCATGCGGAAGTTGCGGATTTCGGAGATGTAATGATTGTACACTGACTCCTCGTGTTCCTCTGTTTACATTGAAATAAACGAAAAAAAAACTTTAATAAAATTTTAATTCAATAGCATAATAGTCGTTTGATGGAGAACACATAAAAAAACTCTTGTGGGAAGTTCACCACTAGGTGGCGCCATTATCACAATATAAGTTTGAGTAAAAGTTGAAAATAAATCATGAATATGGTGAAGTCATTAACAAATATAAAAAATTATAATAAGCCAAGAACACTTTTTAAAATTGTGGGGAGGAGTGGGGGTGCAACAACATGACTAAAAAATAATAGTATTGTGGGGGTGTTTGTATTTATTTTCATTTAAAGGAAACATATCGTGCAAAATCCACTTTTTTAGTCACTAAATAGATTTTGTTAGGTACTTAAAGTCTCTAAGAGTGCAGAAAATTTGATTTTAGTCTCTCCTCGTGCTGCAAATATATCCTTATATTCTGTTTGGGTCATATTTTTCAGTTTTCTTCATTTTCTATGACGTTCTCTGAACTACATCAAATTATTTGCAACAGAACTACCAAATAAGGTCTGTATTTACTAACTAAAATTTTAATTCAGTAACAAAAAAAACATATATTCTTAAAGGTATTAACATTAACTTAAAAAGGCTTAAAGATTCATGTGTTTCCCCTGCTGGGTGGTGTTCAGCAGCTTTTTTGGTTAGAGGGAGAGGGTGGGAATTAGAGTCTTGCCTCTCTCTGCAGATCTGAGCAGTTCCTGGTAATATTCCTTGCAGGCTGCCACATCTCTATCCAGCTGATTGCGGTCTGCCACTGTAAACACCTCTGACTCCTTGCTGTCCTCCAGGAACTCCTCGAAGTGGGACTGCAGGTTGCTCAAGACCTGCTGATGCTCGCCTGGCAACATCGTCTTTATCTGTAGTTGTTGAGAATAAAAGCAGAAAACAAATTTGTTTTCTTGGCAAATGTTTATCAGCGTGATTCTCACAAGAGGAGAAGAGCAAATAAACATACGGAGGCCACGTTCCAGTTGCGGATGGCACGTATGTCYCCCATGAGGTAATGCCAGGACACCACGCTCTTCATGTTAACGTGGGAGCGGTGCCACAGTGCCAGGACATTTTGGTACAACTGCTCGGTTCTAGAGGAAAACGGAGATGTTTTAATGAAGTTAAAGTGAAAAGTGCAACGTAGGAAACTCGAGACAGAAAGTGAATCCCAGCATCCCTCTCACCTGGCAGCCATGTCAACAGCCTCTTTGTTAGGCGGAGGTGCAGTGAAGCAAACCGACGGTACCATGGCCTCGTTCCCTGCTGGGTTGATAACTTTCCACTTGGCTCGATGAGAGTTATTGGCCAACACACACTCATCGTCTTTATAAATGGTAATCTGTAAGAGTTATAACATACCCAGGCTTCCTTTAAGATCACCAAAACAAAAATGGGGGGAAATGTGGTCTGATATGACATGAACAACATTACCTCTATTTGCCGATAATCACAGATTGCTTTGACAGGAATGGAGGACCTGAGGGGAGTTTCAGGGTTCCGCGGTTTCAGTTGCACAATATTTTTGGCCCGGCCCACTAACCCTGCTACAGTGCTGCGGTACTGAAGAAGCTGCTCTTTCTCATCCTGAAAAAAAKAACAACCCAAAAATTCATTAAGATGTGTAACTCCATCTGCATATGAGCACATAGCTTTGAGTTAGCTTACCATGGACTCCTGGATGAGATCCTCCAACCTGTGCAGGCTGCTCGATCGGTTACAGCTGAACTTTCTTTGAATGGAATCTTGTAGATTTTTAAGGTAGTCCATGGACTCTTTGGCGTCACTAAAAAACTACGCAGGGTGAGGTAAATATCAAGATTAGATATGAAACACACTAATGAATTTGTTTTAATTGTCTTAGATAGGAACACACCTCAAAATAAACAGCYTTCTCTTTAAGATGCTGTTCTACACATGAGCAGAGCTGCAAAATCCAGTTCCARTGTGTCTGCATTGCAGCTTTGTACGCCTAAAAGGAAAAAAGCAAAGAGATGTTTAAGCTTTTAATTGTCATAAAGGCAGCTGAAAAGTTCTTAAAGTAAACGATCTACAGGCTTACTTCAATTGTTAGCCTGGCTGGGTGGTTCTTGAGCATGAGGCGCTCCGCCTTGTCCTGCACAGACTTGATGGCTTCCTCCTTTTCATCCAGCTCCCTCATTAGGTCCTGCGTAAAAGACATTAAGCTGAGTACTCCTGGCTCTCAGCCATGGCACAGAACCAGTTATAGCATCATCTCACTTAATCTCATATCCTGTCTCTGAGCTCAGACCATGAAAGTAATCATTTGAGGCGCTATTCATGCAGAAATCCCTTCACTGGAATTATTATTTTTATTTCTTTTTTGTGTAAAAACCAGGCGAACCGAGAAAGAAACGGCTTACTGCATGATAGTCTCTTTTCTTGGAGATGTTACTGTTGCGATCACTCCAGTCAAAGGCAACCTCCTCTTCCTCCTTCTCATTCAGCCAGATGAGCTCTTGTGTTGCCTGTGACACAAAGTCYTGAAGGCATTCCAGGTTGGTCTGCCGCTCCCGTGAGCAGCTCTGAAAGAACGAAGCAAACAGTCAAACAGACTAAAAGACAGCCAAAACCTTTTAGYAAAGATTTGAGCTCATGCCTACCAACAGCCGTTCATACTGCCTTTCCAGTTTGTTCAGTTTATCAGAATAAGTCAGCTTTAGGGGTATGGTCATCTGAATCTGAGAAAAAAAAAGTTTTCTTTGTTTGCTTAAACTACAGTTGTATTCAGTCAACAGCTAAGGTCAAGCTAAATCAAAATAAATTTAAAACCAGGCTTACTTCACTCAGTTTGGCATCTTTAAGACTCATTTGGAATTCTTCAATGGCTCTGTGGACACTTTTATGGTTGTCCAAATGCATTTCCACACTTAGCAAATCAGTTCCCCACTCCGATCGCTCGAGTTGTAACTTCAAACCAGAGAGAAAGAACATTATCTCTGCAACTCAATGGTTACTAGAAAGAAATAGATGGAGGCGACTCACCTGCATCTCTTCCACCCAGTTCAGGAGGTCTTGAACGTATTTCATGTTGACCTCCTCCTCCGTCATGCTGGGGTCTGCCAGTGAAGACTTTAGTAAGGGCTTTCGGATCTGCATGTGTTTCAGATGCATGAGGTTAGCCGGCTCCATGCCGCCGCCGTTTCCCATGTAGCTCTGTACCGTTGAAGGCTGCAGGTTGGGGGTCAAGGCTGGGGTTAAGGACGGAGTCAGGCACGGTGTAAGGCCAGAGGTGAAGGTGGACCCAGGGGTACCCAATTCCCCTGAGGTAAGTGCAGGATTAATGGCTGGTGTCAAGCTTGCATTGATGTTTTGGGGATAGCCAGAGTTCAGGCTCTGCGTGATGCCGGAGATCATCAGCTTGGTTTGCTCCGTTGTCAGGGCGCGACCTTTGCTGTACACAGAGGAGCACTCGGCTCGAAGGGTCAGAAGGTCATCTCGGAGTTTGGATACTCTGTGACAAGGAGGTTCGCAGTGTGAGATATTTTGATGCATAATAAACATTGTTTTCTTATTTGTGCAGGAGGCATTTATTTTTACCTTTGAACAAGCTGATCTGCAAACGGAAACTTTCCATCCAGAAGAATCTGGATGTCCACAACTTGTTGCCTGAGAATATTCTCACACTCCAACAGGTAGCTCGCAACCTCAGCTTCGTTCATGAACTGTATACCAGATTCGAGACGTTTTGTGTCCTTAAAAGAGACAAAAACATTCAGAACTCAGAGATAAATAGAGTTTTTTTCCTTCCAGCTTTCATCAAAGTCTTGCACAAAACTCACCGACTGGAGGGCTGTTCTCGCCAAAGCCAGCTTGTCTTCTCCATTAACACAGTCCCGCTGGACTCTGTTGGCAATCTGCTGCAACATCTCCAGCCTGAAGAAAAAAAATAGACAAAAATATTGGAGGTACGTTTCTAAATTTTAGGCAAATTAAAGCAGCACTAAGTAACTTCACCTAGATCCATAGGCAATGCTGTTATTGAGAAAGACTGAGCTGTTAATTTGTAACGGCTCTGTGAGAATGCTGTCACTGGAGCCGAAGCTGGTGTTAAAGCTGCTGTTGCTAACGGTTGATACTCTGCTCAGATATGCCATCTTAATTCACATTGTCAATAAAATCATGACAGCCGATCACTGACTAACTCTCACATTGAGGATTCCTGTCTAGAATCTCAGCAGCCTGACTTCAAGCATGAAGGAGCCCAACTATTGGAACAACTTTCAAAGTGCTCCTATTTATAGTATCACAGCCAGGTGAGGGGCGTGCAAGAGTCCCACCCTGAAATACTACTSGCTCCTTAGGGGATGAAAATCAAACGACAGGTCGAGACAAAGCCCCTTCACAAGAAGTAAAGGATTAAAAATCAGAGCCAAGCTGCTAATAATTCTTAATTCCCTTTTCAGCCATCACCACACCCAGCTCAGATGCTGTAAATATGTTGGAAGCAAAAAAAGGATATGTAATACGGTCTAATCTACTGTAAACAGAGCACCAAACAGTGTCTCCATAGAGACAAGATCTTTATCACAGATGTGGAAAAAAAACTGACCAGGTTCAACACAAAGGGGGATTTCTGTAATAACTCAAACAGCTGCTGCAAACAGCTGCTATTAGGATGTTTTTTTTCCTCTTTTTTTTCAGTATTGAACTAAATGTGATTGTGTTTTTATGAGAAATTGACAACAAAACAGCACATTATTCCWCACATTTTCAATCAAGTTATTTAGGTCCGAAGTCAACATACTAAAGAATAAAATCAACTTTTCAACCCCATAGTCAAAATGTGATGTAAAAGGTGAATTTTCAAACTAAAGCTAAAATACCGGTCAAAGATTTTAGTTGAAACAGTGAGATTAAGTCAAACCAAAACTTGCACATGGACAATATATTCAGAATGTCTTTCATTAGTAAAATTATAGTTCTGGCAAGGTGCTTAAAGATTTCTSTCTTTTAGCACATATAAACAGAGGTAGGGGTTTTTGAGCAAAGTGGGCAAAATTCTAAGTAAGTAAATACCTTTCACAGATACGAACATCACAAGTGCTTAACAGAGAGCAAAAAACTAAAATCAATAACAACAGTGCACAAACATAATGAAGAACAATTAAAGAACAGAAAACAAAAATTGTCCAATAAGGGGATTTCAGCAAATCCCACCTTAACATCCAGCAGAACCCTTGGTGTCTGAYTTCAGTAAACACACTAATAGGCTTGTAATACAGTATGAGAACACTCCCCCAGCAAAAACAACCACAGACACTATCATGCTGATGAAACCTGTGTGTATACTTACATTTTTCCCATCAGATAAATGTTTCCTAACATCAAACTGTCACTTTTTTATCAGATCCAACTCATATATCTCTGAACTGCAACTTTTGAGTAAACTATGAGGTTTAAAATGAAATTCTTTTGCCGTGGCTTTTAAAACGAGACTTTTAATAAATCATGAAGGGATGGGGTCAGAAAAAGTGCCTCCACATACCTTTCCACTTCTGGCCGCAGGCTCTTTTCTCTTTCCAGCATAGCAACAATTAATTTGCCCCATTCCTTCTCCACGTCGTTCGGATGATGACCTGGGGGTAACTGAATACGTCCAAACTCGATCCACATCTGTTAAGATAAACACCAAGCGTGCACTTCTTATCCCCACAGTGTTTGAGACTACAAGGAAATGGCAGCGTACGACTGAAACGATCTGCTCTTCTGTTGTATTTACCTCAAGCATTTTGTAGAGATTTTGGATTTTTGTTTTCTCGTTTTCTTTGAGTGGAATTTCACGTTCTTTAAATTGCTGATATTGTTTATAAAGTGCCTGTAAAAAAGAATTAATAACATAAAGACAATATTTGTTTTGTGTTTTTTATAGCGCGATAAGCATCTCCAAACACTTGACTGAACTCTAACCTTACCTTGAAACAAAAGGACAAATTTAGCTTGACTTTTACAAGATATTGATTTCTTACAGCTAATGGATGCTGCTGCTCTCCTGCATCAATCTATTTCACCTCAAGCCTCGATTTCACATATACATTGCATTTAAGCTATTTGAAAAGAGGATTACCCTTCAARGGTCAGATATGTTGCATTTTCTATCATACGACTCAACCAATAAATGTAGAATGAAAGCAAATGTTAATAACAAAAAGCTGCAAAATGACATGCAAGCAAACCTTTAGTTCTACAGGGCTGTTGGGGAAAGATCTGTCTGACATCACAGCCACGTTGTGTTTGATCCACTGACTGAGGTATTTGATCATGTTCTGGTACTCCACCCATTTGATATCAACATCCTGTCGAAACACAGTGAGTCAGCAGTTTCAGTTGAACTGAATGAAGCCCCCCGTGTTTCGGTCCCGTTGACTTACATTAGGACTAATTCCATCAACGCCGTCAGGTACTTTAGGGAAGGCATCGTACAGCGTTGAGACGTATGTGATCACAGATTTTTCATCAGGAGACTGAACATCAACGTCTGATGAGGAAAATAAAAACCATAATGTCACAAATGCAACGAATAACTATCAGTTACAGTTTTACAGAAAAGAATGGTAAATGGACTGAAACTTATATAGCACTTTATCAAGTCCCTCCGGACCCCAAAGCACTTTACACTTTCATTCACACACTGATGATGGTAAGCTACATTGTAGCCACAGCTGCAAGGCGGGTGAAGAGTCTTACCCAAGGATACAACGACTGAAACAGCTGGGACAGGGGATCAAACTGGCGACCTTCCGGTTACAGGATGACTCCCCTAACCACGCTGCCACAGCCGCCCAAGTAAGTACACACTCTTTGAATGCTAATGATTTACAAATCATATCTTGAAAAAATAATTATCTGGTGTTTAGCAGGTCTTATAAAGAAATTAACACCTCAGGTGAACAATGTGATGTATTACAGTAGGGCAATTCAACTGCTGGTCTGCAGGCCAGGTGTGGCCGGCCGGGGGGCTTCTATCTGGCCCGCCAATGAAGAAAGAATGTATAAAATTTTAATGTTTTTTAAATTGCTAACTGTTTAGCWCTCCTGTGTTTGTGTTTGGTTCTTACCGCATTACGGTGCCATCCCAAACATACTGTAGGCCTMTTCTGGACTGCATCCAGTATTTGCTTTTGTTTCACGATTTACATCACGTGTACTCTAAAAATATAACCTGAGCAAAAAACTGGGGCTTCACTGTAATATTTGTTCTTTTACATAATGCRGTGTCTTCCCCCGGTTTTTCGACCCTTGAGCTGTTGGCTTTGAGTAACTGTGGTCCCCMGAGCAATTTAGCTCKACAACCCTGTCGTGTGTCCTTCCTGCTAAGGCAGACCTTTAGAGCTGAAAGAGGGTGTACTTTCTTTTTCACATTCAARTCAAGCTAAACTCCAAGCCTCAGAATTCATAGCACAAAGGTACTCAAGCTTRCACAGTATTATCAGAAGCAAACCACAAGACAATGAGTTCAAGTCTCACCCTCAGGGTCGAGCAGCCTGGCCACCCCCAGCTGTTCAGCTAGACTAAATGCTTGCTCCAGATTTGAGCGATTGGTCTGCGTCGACACACGACTTATGTCAACCAAATCTGGTCTGCAAAAGAAAGCAAAAGAGTATGACAAGTTGATTCACATTCTTATTCTGATACAGTAACGGAGAAAAAAAGGTGTGGGGGTGGAAGAAATTCAAATATAAGAACAAATGAACACGGTAATAATCTGTAAAACAGTACCTGTATTTATGAATGATGGCATTAAACAGCCTGCCATCCCTCCAGGATGTTGTGAAGTTTTCACACCGCACACCTACATAACCATCTGTTATCTGTTTGGACCAAAGCAGTAGTCTCTCCTTGGCTGTCATGTCCTCAGACTCCCCTGTGACATGGATCTCTGAGATCTGCCACAATATAAGCAAACAAACAAAAAGGTTTAGAAAATGTAATGAGACTGCAAATGTWGGTGAGGTAGCTGGTTGAAAACCACAAAACTATTACCCATAACTTCTGATTATATGTAAACTACCATCATACAACCAAAAAACCAACTTTACTGATTCTACTACTGCTTGTTTACATTGTTCATACTACCTAAATAAAATGACACAAAAACACTTTACCTTTTTTATGATGATTTTAATTCAAACTAGTGTTGGACATAGAACCATATTTGGTTCATTCACCGAAAATAATGATACAGATTTTTCCTGTTAAGTGTGTACATGAGCATGTGCATTGTTCTAACTCTAATCTGCACTAGTATGTTAAGGAATTTTCTAACTGAGTTTATTCTTAGCGCCATGCTGTGGAAGCTCTTTAACGCCTTTGTGATTATAAAAATTCTTTACATGGTTAATAAAATACCAACGTCACTTCTTCTGACCCGAACTAAACTTATAAGATGTGACTACAGGATGTGAGTTCTGTTTTCACATACTGTACTGTTGGTTTTTCTTAGTCAACACATGTTAAATTTGCATTCTGCCTGGTTTTCCCTTCTGCAATTGAATCCACTTTTTACTCAGAGTATATACTGAAAAGTTTAACTCTTTTTTTGTGTTTAGTGTTTTTATTTATAGCTGTGTCTAGTATTTAAAGCCTCTTTTTTGACAATGTGCCTACCTCCTGCATGTTTTCTTTATTTATTGCTAACTGCTGAGCTTATTTAAATAAAACCTTGTGGCTGATAGCCATCTGTTAAACTGTTACATACTCTACTTTTTTATCTTACCAAGGATAAGATTATCAAAGATAAAACCAATGAAAACAAAAACACTTCTGATGTTTGCTAACTAATTACTTACTAATTACAATTTTTTTGCAGTTTTATAGTTTCTCTGGCAGCTTATGGAAAATGCCAGCAGCAGGTCAGCAATGCAAGGCACAAGTGTATAAAGACTTATCAAACAATTTGTTTTACAGCATGCTCCATCTGGTAAGTACGGTAATGTGAATAAACAGCCCCACTTTACAGCTTGCACATGGTTTGAATCACATTTATGACATCTGAGCAATGTTCATAATATTTGATCAATCAACTTTGTAAATGTCTTTAAAAGATGAAAATATGGGAACACTGCATGCTATCATTTTAAATAGACAAAAGTTTCACAAAATAACCTTATTTGACCGACTTTTGTGTATAAAATTGGAAAACTACAACAATTTAGCCAAACAAACACTTGGATCCACGAGTCAGTCTACAGAGCCAAAGCAAAAGCTGTTAGTTTTGGATGTCCATAAACTAAAGCTGACTAATTCCTGCAGTTTTACTAGATACTTTCRAACAGCACAACAACTCAATCCAAGATTAAACAAGATCCAAAAAGACTCCAAGAACAACAAGTGAATAAACAGATATAAGAACCAAATACTGGTGAAGAAACAAAGCAAATATTCCAGAACCACTAAAAGTGTACAAGCTTTAACCTTTCAAGCAAAAGAATCCTAAACATGAGTCAGGATTGAAACAATCAGGATCTTCATAAATTTAAATGAGACATTTCATGTTTTTAAATCCTTCTTTTTCCACAATTAAATTGTTCAGTTGGGGTCTATAAGTGGAAGTGCAATGCTTTGGTCTGAATTTTGTAACCCCACAAGCCCCTCTTTCACCCATTTACTGGGGTGTGTCTCAGATCAACTCATTTTGAGGCTGTCTCTTTAATTCTAAACAAGGTGCTTCACACCCCGCCCCCAACAATCCTATGATGTAATAGTTCAGAAAATGTCATAGAAAATAGAAAAAGCTGAACAGGTTGAAAAATATGACCCAAACATAATATAAAGATCCAGTATCCACGCAGCACCGGGAGAGACTAAATAGAAAGATTTTCTGTATTCCTAGAGACTCCACGTACACAAAAAAATGCATTTATTGGCTAAAAGAGAAATAAATAAAATAAATCCCAAAGCTGACAATACACATTAAATAGTAGAAAACATGACCAAAAAATTAGAGTATGCTCCCAATAATCTGTAATGTGATGATTTGTTTAATACAGCGAAGAAGTTCCCTATTTTAACAACTATTTAAATGTTGTGTTTTACTGCAGCTTCTTGAAAACACTGCCCTCCAGTCAGTCTTCAGCGTCATTTAATCCCGCCTTGTTTGATTCTATCATGAATCACCTCCATGATTGCTACTGATAGCACATTATTGTTTTACCTGGTGTTGGGTGGAAACACACTTGGCTGGACTCTGCTCAGTGTAACCAGAGGACGTGAAGCTCCTCCGCCTTCTCCTTCTGTGTGCTTGAGAGCCACATATAATCTTGGCAAACGCCTCCTCACTCCCAGATTGGTCATTGCCTTTCAGAGTCCGTAACATGTGCTCCACCGCTCCAAAGCTAACGGCCCTTCTTAGCTGGCGCTGAAGCAGCTTCTTTACAAGCAAACTATCCCTAGATGAAGTCCTCCTGGAAGTTGTGCAAATGCCATGGAGCGTTCTGTCTACAGTGGTCCCAATTCTGTCACCGCCTTCTCGGTCTGTGGACAAACTTTCCAATCTGTTTGCTGGATTTGTTCTAAGAAGTTCATTCTCAGCATCTGCGTGAAGTACAACAGGTACCTCTCCAACATATATGCCATTGCTGATGCTGCCTTGTCTGGAAAGATGTTTCACCACCTGTGGGAGTTTATCCTCCTCTGCGTGGTTCGGCTCTGACTTCTCTCCTGACTCATCGTGAAGCTCAGCTGTAACGACTTCACTTTCAGGATTCCCGAGGGATCCAAAAGACTTTAAGTTCTCTGATTTCCTCTTCTTCCTCTGTAAATAGCGACGACCTTTAAGCTCTTTAGATTCAGCGTTTAGCGGCGCTTTCTTGGGGTCAACATAGCTTTCCTCTTTATGGCCACGAACACAGCCACCGATGTTTCCCATGGCTGTCAGATATATGATGTATCCATCGACAGTCCTCAAACTCCCAGCAGCAAAGACGGAAGTATCCAATGAGCTCTACTTAATAAGTAGAACAACGATCCCACCGACAGAAAGCCATTATAACACAGGCAATCATAGGCAGCAGAGTACCGGCAGGGAGACAATAAAGCTCGCAGCACTCCAAGCAGTCGACTTTGTCCTGTAGACGCCCTGTCAAGAACTGGTCAGAAGCTCCCACGCTGCACTTTTCCCATGCTCTCTTCTTACACTCGAATCTTTCCTGACCTTTGAAACATTTTCCTGGCTTTGCTAATCCAGCGCAAACACCATAAATGCACACAGACATTATCCACGTGCTCGTGGCTCTCAGCCAGACTAGAATGAAAATGACTTGTAGATAAACCTGTTCAAGCCTGGCTAGTCTGCATTTTCAGCACGCGCGTAACACCTTCCCATTTCTACTTTTAGAGCATTGAGGGTTTAAAATGGAAGTGGCTGCCAGTTAGCGACACCTATTATGTTTTGAGAAACAACGATTCAGCTAATTTGGCTTTGTAAACCAGGAAGATTCACAGAATAACTGCAGGGTACAGACGCTGTGGCAAATCCTAACTAGATGACATCACTTTGTTTACTAACCTAGCTACATACAATGGACTAACCAGGGGTGGTTCTTAAACTCAACGATTTGAGCAAAAACTATTATCTGAACAAATGACTATACAGGGTACAAATGTTCTAATAAAAATTGGTCACTATATAAATTAACAATAAAAAACCAGATCTATACCCAAAAATGAGTTTCATGAACACACGACATAAAAGAAAATATGAATTATTGAGAGAAAATCTAATAAAAGCGTGTAGGACTATAAATGTAATGTCATGGTAGCACAAATAACTGTGCATCTGTGAGGAGGTCTTAACACTGAACAGTGACCACAAGTCTGCTGCTTCCTTTTGCCTGGTTCCAAGTTAACAGTGAAATAAATATTACCTTGACTGAATTATTAGCTTATGTTTTTGCTAAAATGTTGGTTGAAAATATCCAGCATGACCTGCTACTCCAGTTTCTTCAGAGTTTCAAAACAAGTGGAGGAATCATAAATAGTGATCGCAAAGCTGATATTCTATACAGAGGTGGAGACGATACGAAGACCAAAAARAAAGTGTCAAACAAGCACTGAAACACCTGACATCAGTCTGGTATCATGATGGTGTGACAGTAACAACCTCTAATAAACAGCATGTATGGTTAAGCCATCCCTCTTTTACTTACACAAACAAACAATACACATTTCTTTTTAAATAATGCAAATAATTCTTGGTGTGAGGTCACATTTCTATAAGTRCAAAAAATGAGACTTTAACAGCAAAAAGAGCAGGAACATAATGTTCTCACAAACAGCCCTCCTCTATAGGACAGGAACAAATCTTGAATATCTCTATAGTCTTGTAAAAGAAAAAAAAGCTTCCTGGTATTTCATGTCAGTTTTCTGTCAACTAGCTTATCTAATAAAGCCAAAGATGCACAAATTTTTTCAACGTGGCTTTACATTTTCTGGTGAAGTGCCCCCGTGCCCTTCCAAAGCAAGAAGAGACAGGTCGCATGCTGCTCAACCGAGCGCTCAGGGGCTTGCGTGAGACTGACAGCGGCAGGTGTTGGCACCATCACGAACGCTACCTGTCAGCATGTCTGAGTCCAGGCAAAATCATAACTACCTTTTCTGTTTTTAGTCAAGGAGGCTTGCATGCTTGAGTATTAGACTAATTCTCTCCCTGGCTCACAAGAAATGAAAATATTATAAACCACATTGGAAATGGTCACAAAAAGTTAGAAAAAAACAGAGATGGAAGACCATTAACAAAAAAATCCTTCCAAGTTTTTTTTTCTTTTTACTTCACAGTTGCTGAATACCTCAGCAGACACCTGGATGTACCTGCCTGGTACCTGCACGCAGAGGCCAAATGATTTGACATGATTTATATGACAGCAATAACATAAGTACCCCCAGAGGGAACATTTTTGAAAACATGCATCAGGAATTATAAACTGGGGGTGCATCTAACATTTTTAAAACCATTACAAGTCCATAATACTGTACATAACATCAATTCTCTCCAGTGACTGGAAATAATATGTGGACAAAAATCTTCATTTTCATCTGTAATGATTGTATGGATTATGTAACTTTTGCTTATTTAAATTTTAAAAAGTGCACAGACTTAAAATCATATAAAATTGTTTATTTCCTATAATGTTTTAAAATTTTTAACATCTTCTATTCACTTTTAAATATTGAAAGGATTTGACAATTCTGCACCGTTTTGACACCTTGTGGCCAAAAGCAGAAACATTCGTGTTTAAAAGTCGGCAGTGATAAATGACATTTTCAGAAAGGTTTTCAAAATAAATTTGAAAAGATGGTAAAACTGACCTGAAAGTGCAAAATTATGGTCCAGATCAATCCCAGAGTCAGTTTGGGGTTGCCGTCTGTGATGTCATCATTTCTGATATTTACAAGTTTGACCTGGTGACAGAAAATGTACAATTAATGTTCGCACAAGGTTTCAGAGTGTGTTTAGACCTTGCTCCTATTTTTAGTTTAATTTATGGCATTTAAACTGTGTTCATTTGATACATTACTCACAAAATAGATTTGATAATAATATTAACAATAATAATAATGATGATGATGAATTTAACATTTTTCATTAGCAAAATCTCTAAATGCTACAAAATATCAAAACACACAGAAAATGATAAAACTACTAAAATTAAATAAAACAACAAAAGTACAATAATAAAAACGACAGCCTAAAGTGGGAAAAGGCTGGATTTTAAGCCCTGTTAAAATAACTTTAACGCCATCAAACAGAGACAGAATATGCTAGTTTAAAAAGAAAAATTTTCAAGCCTTTATTAAAATATAAATATAATATTTATTGTATAAAAGTGATTGAGAAGCRCTCAGAGAAAGAAAGTTCCAGGGGAAGGGGCAGCCACACAGAATGCTGATCTCCCATGGTCCTTAGTTTGGTTTGAGGTAGATGGAGGAGATAAGTGTTCTGTGACCGGAGGGAACGTGTGGATGAATATGGAACAAGTCCTTCAAACAACCGAGGGAGTTTCTGCTAATGCAATGACAGGTAATGAGCGTAATCTTATGTAGGTAACAGGAAGCCAGTGAAGGTTATGAAGATTTGGAGTATAATTCTGATTTATAAGTGCTCAATAAAATCCTGGCTGCACTGTTTTGAATTTCACTACATTTTGTCAATTTTGCCTCAACCTTGTTATTTACCAAACACCACAAGGTGGCACAATAACTCTGATGTAAAGATGAGGAACAACTGAGATGAACTCTTAATAATGTCTTTACTACTGGAATGCTATAAAATCAAAACACCATATACATTATGTATTAGAGTTTAAAATATTGTACATTAAAAACTAATTGAAATAAAGCAGGTAACAGTGAATGGATCAGAGCTGAGTGATGATTTATCGAAGCTGTCAGTAATTCATTTGGATGACTTGAAATAATCAGCTGCACTGTGTGATTTAAAGAAGTAAGATTACTTTAATTTACCAAAGACAGCAGAGCATAGACGTGTCCGGTATCTGATTTGACTAAAACAATACACCAACTCATTTGCGAGTGTGTATGAACCCTTTGTCTGGAGACGTACGTCACATCTGGCTACAGCTGAACGAGGCTGTGTTCCTCTCCGCCGCCTGAGCGTAGCGCGGGGGGAGGGGACGGCAACCGGAGCACTTTAAAAATCCCACTGATGGGATTTGTAGTCAGCACGCCTTGAATGCTGCAATTGCTATTTGTCATGGCTAAGATGGATTTATATGTTGAAGGAAAAGCCAGATAAATCAAAATGGATCTATTAGTATGCGATGCTGGAAAGCTGGAAGGGTCCACCGTCGTCGCTGAACTGTGCCGTTGTTGCTACGTAGTGACGTGCATTTATTGCAACACTGGTATGAGTAAGCATATTGCTAATTGCGCCATGTGATGCAAATCCCAAAATACAGTAAACACTTAGGAAGGATCATGTTTCAGCTTGCTTGCAACAATATATGTGATTCCAAAGATGTTGAAAAAATGGCTTCAATGAAATTCAGCTTCAAATCAGAGTGATACAAGTGTGAATGTGTTTGGACAGATCCTCACCTGCCGCCTCTTTAAATAATCCAAGGCTATCTGTACATTCTGGAGTCTGTGGAAACGCATCCTTCCTCTCTCCCGAGGCTGTGGGCAAAAACAGGGAAGAGCAGACATATGCTAATCGGGTACCTCACAGCATCACGGCACAATTTAAGAACCGATTAGTAGCATGGAGGACATGGATCATGCTTCTTACCAGCTGATACGGTGAGGTAGAAAAGTAAAATAACACACACACCAAGACATTCTACTTCACATTTAGGAGTCCACTCAAGCTCTGTGCACACAGTGAATACAGTGTAGCGAAACACCCATGTGCTGAACATTTCTCATTATTGCAGCTCGGACAGAATCAATCAGAACTTTTCAAAGCTAATCTCGTCCACAAACCTTAAAGAAATGAACTCTGATGGTGAAAGGAAAAAAAAGAACATTCAGTTTTCTGTTCGTGAATGGTCAGAGTCGAGCGTGAGCATGAAATGAGAAAATACGTTCAAGTCTGGATGCAGCAGCAGCTCAGGACTTGAACAGCAATCAGCCGCCTCGTTCATCTCAGCAGCAAAGCAATGGCAGCTAAAACCCAGCTCCTTCATTTAGTGAAGCCTTTTCGGAGGGCTTCAGAGGCAAAATATGTTTTAAAAAGCACATGAAACATCTGTGATTAACCACATAGGTTCAGACAGATTTTAATGTATGATTCTGTGATGAGCAAAGCTTGTGAAATGGATATAAAGACCCAAGCTTCATGGACAAATTCATAATCTATCACATCTTTTTAATGCTTTTGAGACATTCATGGTCTCTACCACGGACTAAAATATATGTTGTAAAGAAAAATATACCAAAAGCTGCCTGGGTCTTTTAATAGTGTTCATATTTTTATGCATTATAACACCTCTATATTAAAATAAAATAAAAAAGAAAGCAGCATTCAGAACTACTAAGAAATACTATCTGCTACAGTAGAGCTGGGCGGTATGACCCAAATTTTATATCACGGTATTTTCAACAATTACACCGGTTTCACGGTATTTAACTGTATTTTTTCCCCTCAAAGCTCAGCTGATAATAAAATGTACAAACTTTGCTTATTGACTTTTTTCTGTTACTGTACCTCAGCATCACTGTTTCCCTCCTCTTGTACGTCTTTTCATCTTTGCCTGGTTGTAGACAGTAATCATGCATTTAGGTCCGATCGTGAGGGGTTGAGAAAAAATCATTATCTGATCCATTGTTATATGTTAATAAAACTTAAAAGGATGACTCACCTTGCACACCACTCAACTCCGCTACACTACAAAACTACCCCCTGGCTTTTCACAATAAAAGCACGCTAGAGTCTCCATGTATTAACATCTCCATTTTAACGTAGCGCGTTAAATCTAACCGTGCACGTCACTGAAGAGTTGTTTACTACATTCAGCGATGGTGAAAACGGGATGGGTTTTTTTTACGTCCGACCATATAAGCGGCTGAAACATACCACCCGCCGCCAGTTGTTCCAACACTAACATTAGCATGCTAACATGCTTAGCGGTGCTGCGAGGAAACATGTCCCCAGGGAAGCAGCGGCCGCAATGAAACGTTKCGCACGTGTTCAGGCTATTGACACCGGTATTCAGAAAAGTCATATCATAACAAAAATAAAAACCGGTTTTCGGTACAAAACGGTATACCGCCCAGCACTATGCTACAGCGGATTTCAAAAGGTATAAGAACCAATCATGAAATTGCTTCTGTTTGTATTAAGTGGCCACAACACGCTTTGAATTAGTCTGTTTCAAACACGAAAGGTGTGGGGAGGCAAACCACACATACCCCCTTATCATCATCATCATCATCATCCACCGTGTCTCCATGCTGCTCAACCGCACATGCTTCTGTCCCACTCACCAACCGCAAAGTCTTCAGAAAATCACGCTCCCGCGGCTTTACCACCAAAAAGGCAACACATGAGGGGAGAAAAGGAAGACATGGACACACACAGAGGGCAACCAGATCATGAGGAAGTTGGACACCGGACAGATACCGGTCAAAGAATGGAGAGTAGAAAGGGAGGGATGTAAAACAAAAAAACAAACGACATGTAAAGAGGATGAAGGACACACTGAGGGGCTTGTGTGGGGGGACTGCAGGGATCTCTACACAGGAATCTGTCACTCACACTTTAAATGCAAGTATAACCTTCACGTATTGATATTAATAATACCCACAAAATTAAACCATGGCCTGACTAAACTAACTGCAAATTATTAAAATGTTACAAACATAAAGGAAGGTGTTTTAACTCGGGATGCACAACATATTGAAAGTTGGCTTAAATGTTTGCATTTATGTGTTTTGTCAATCACACCAAAGCTTGAAGAGTTCGACCAGTCAAATAGAGCTCTTCATGTATTTTGACCAATCAGATAGATTTCTTTACATTAGATGCCCGCCCCCCTACGTAGAAGTGGATATCAGCCTTAGTTTTAACTTTAATTGCAGATACAGTGATAAACTCTGGTTTTACTTTCAGAACATTCATTTCCACAAAGTATATGTGGGTTTTCTTAAGACTAAAACTACATCAGGGTTTAAAAATCATATTTATTCAGTGCTTGTGGTTTTCAGCCTGATACATTGTGGTAAAAAAAATGCTGATTTTCAGATTTCTTAACATGGAAGTTCTGTTACTTTGGACTCAACTTGTTAGAACTGCCACATCCTGGAACCAGCACACTGATCCTACCAATCTTTCATCTATCTTATTTACTGTAGGTAATAAACCCTCATGGTTTTGCTATTTTAAATTGAGAAATATGATTCTTGTTGAATTACTTTATCATATATTCTTTACCAAGTTATAAAACTCTAATTTAATTTTAGATAGTTCTGAAAGATTCAACCTCTTATTCACATTCTTATTGTTATCAAAACCATGAGTTACTAGGAGGCCGACTGCATCACCTTCTTTCATTTTTCTTATATCAGTCTGTATATAAATTGTAATATGAATGCTAACTTTAAAAAGCATTTATGTTTAATTGTTTGAAGCTTGTCTACCATTATGAAACCACGTGAGTGGGTGATGTTGATGCCAGAACAGCAGATCTGCTCACAGATGGTAAAATCCCAGGATTCCCTCTTTCCTCCAACCATCAGTTATGCAAGAGTGAAAAGGAAAGTGTCCGTGCATCCCCCATGAAAATAGCCTGCTCCGCTATATGAGCAAAGTTTCTCTTTTTCCTCATTAAAATCTGAGCCAGCTGACTAAATTATTTGGAAAGTATTCAGTTTTGACGTAAAATGAAACTAGTTTATGTAAATCTGTGTTTTAGTTTCACAACCCAAGAGAAAACCATGAACTCACCAGTGTATCTCCAGACAAAACCTCCAACAGCGAGATCAGGTTATGTCCATCTCTTAAGTCTTCATAGAGGTCATTTATGTGCTTTCGTACCTACAGAAACAAGAAAAAAGTGGATGAACCATAGTAAATTATTTAGATTTTCCATTTATATTCAAAAAAAGCAATACATTCTTATGTTATTGTATATTTATAGCATTAATTTACAACTTTTTTCCCTTTTTTTTTTTTTTTTTCCTTTTTGTATCAAAAAGTAAAACATTATCATATAAATAGTCAGAATCAACCAATTATTTGACTAAAATGAAAACAATAGCAATTTTTGATAACAGGACCATCAGAGTATTGATATCTTGTCACTTGTTGGCAAGACCAGCCCTAGCCAAATTAGTAATTTCAGGTAAACTCCTTGTGCAATTTTTCTAAATCTCACTGTCAATTTGGTACATTTACATACCAAATTAAACAGTTTTGTCTTTTTATATTATTTTTATCTTTAAAAAGGAGTCTGTTCAATTAAAATATATCTGCTGACATCATGAGGAACGCCTGTTCATGTTAACGAGCAGCTGTGGAGTGAAGCAGTTCTTGGGGGGGGGTCCAGGGGTATTCTCCCCCTGGAAAAAATTGCAAAAGATTTACTAAAATCTATGCCTTTTCCATTCAATTGAGGAGCATTTTATTAAATTCTTGGGGTTATTAAAACAACATTAAATCAGTATTTTATGAACTGTAAAACAGACTTTAACCTGAACTTTWTCTGAGACTATAACTTAAYCCTGAATTATATTTATYTATATTGTTTTCTGCATACAMACTGAGCACCAGCTGTTAGTCTTGACTGCATCACTTATGATACTTTTATCACGAAATATCCTCTGCACCATATAATGCCTCTTCTAGTAACAAAGCAGCTGAGAAACTGACAGAAAAAGGTATCATTTTTGTCCCCCATTCAACAGCCTCCCTAGATGGACAGCACCCTTAGCATTTGCCTATACTGCCTATGTCACAGGATGGCCCTGCTTGTTGGTAAAATTACTTAACTAGAGAAAACATTACTTGCAGATTACCACTGTAACACATCGACTAAAGTGAGGCACTTGGCAGCTGCAGCCTGACATCCTTTCCTTCCCGTCCTAAATTTGACACCCCTGAAAGCACCGTGCTGCGGTGACCTGCTTTCACACAAGACTTTCAGCACTGTAATCCCAGATAGCAGCTACAGCTGTGGAGCCAAATTAGACCAGAACCTTTATGTTGTTTATCGGATCAGCCAAGCAGATCCCCAACTGTTACTCAGCACTTCTGATTTCTCATTAACCTCATGTGAAATCTGCCAAAACACACATTCAAATGAGATAAGGAGGTCTGAAATCTGCCTGTCTAAAATACATTTTAAAAACGAGTCGTATAAAACTTGAAGGTCAGTCATAGTTATTTGTGGAGCAAGCAATCAGCTACCAAAACATTGTAAATGTACTTGCCCCTCAGGTGGTGAAAAGTCATAAAATCCCTAAAAACTGAAGCATTTGTCAACATGATGATTAGAAATGAACCGATTGTTGTGTGACCATTAATCCTTAAAGCTCATGTTAGATAAAAAGTTATAAAAAATTTAAAAAAGCAAAATAATCTTTTCATTAGATAAAAAATCTTCACGTGAAAAGTAAACAAGTATCCTGCTAACTTTATTGTATTTGTCTCAAACATAACTTTTATGATCATACCATTGTGTATGCTGTTAGCTTGTGTTTGTGTACTTTCTCTCATTTTATTCCATTTTCTATTTTACCATCAATCTGTTGAGATTACAGATAAAAACTGGCACATTTGCAGGTTAAAACCACATCCTTTCATGCGCACTGTCCCTTTTAAATAAATAAACAGAAYCATTAAAATTATTTCAGTCTGAACCAAAAAGGCAAGCCTTTCACCCAAATTATTACTGAGGCTAAACACACAACTGCTCTCCATTTTATATCACAACCGTGTTTTCCCCCTGTTTGAACATGACCTGAAGAATCACCTTTCCAAATATGTTTTAAATATTCACCAGAAGCTGATWGCATCTGCTCCACAGACATTAAATTACCACCTGTCAACCCATGTTGCTCAGTTATAACAATTTCTCCCCCAATACAAAACCTTAAAATAAAAATAATGCAAACACAAAACAGTGAAGTGGCATCACTGCGAGCATCACTATGACATCTTTGAGAAACAAAGCAGACTCAGCTTTCACGCCTCACATTCACGCCTGCTCTTTCTTGTTGAATTAATCAGTTTTAAGAGGGCAACATTCCAGTTCAATAAGCGCACAAGATAAAGAAAAAACAAAACAAGCAGGCCTTAACACTATTCTGATGGATTTTGAACGACTTCCCACAGACAGCAAGAACAAACGTCAAATTTGTCATGGTTGAGATGAGCTGATCCAAGACTTAGAAAAATATTTCTCAAATCATTCCTATTTGTTTGAATAAATACATAAAGGCTGAGACATGCCCTTTTTCATGTGCTTCATCAAATTCCAAACACTGATAAAACAAACTGTTTCAAATTACTGGCTCAACAGAAGCAAACGTGTTCCTGCAGCCATAAATATTATCCTAAATGATTTTTTAATGACAGCTGAGCAGGAATCTTAACATGTTAGGACCCATCAAAAAGAGGAATAATTAATCATTAATACGTTGCAAGAAAATGGCTTCAGTGATTACGATGGCAGAAAGTGAATTTAAATGGTTTTGTTGTTATAATAATTTTAACTGTGATTTAAAATAAACCCCACCTTTGTAGCTTCACGTGGACAGATACAAAAAACAAATTGTAAAAATTATATATATTTACTTCAGCTCAACAAACACTGGCGACATGCTACCAACAGGAAGTGTCTCTTACCTTCAGCAGGTGCTGATTTATCCATTTTGTAAAGGTCTTTTTCTGCACTCTGTCTCTTTCATCTGTAGGTAAAAAAAAAAGAATTTTAAAAAAAATTGCATGTGCAAATATTTTATTCGTGGAAACTTTCAAGAGAGAAACTTAATTCTGCAGCATTTTATATTTGGTAAGGGTTGATGTGTGCTTAATAAAATGAGAAAACTAAAAACCTATAAATTTAATATCTGCTATATAGTTTGGGCAGAAGGCTTGAAATTTCAAAAAAAGTTATTTTTAAAGGTAATTTTCTGTGACATGGTAACCTCATTAAGTTGTTTTTGGTTTTTAAAAATAATACATTAAAGATGGTATTAAAACCACAAACACGCTTCATATGCTTCAATGTGACATTGCATAACAAACACAACACTCAGGTACAGACAGGTTGTTCACACCCAACCGCTAAACCTCAGGCAAAAGTTTAGAAAGAAACAAARCTTMCAAAAAACAGATTTTTAAAGTCTTTGRATTKGTATTAAAAAGTATAAAAAGTTTTCTCAGATGTATTTCAAAAGCTTAAGGTGCTCATATTATTTAAAAAACAACAGTTTTATTAACTTTATGTCATGTTATAATTCCATTCCCTCATCAAAACATCCTTAATGTTGCTTTGACTCATCCATGCATGTTTGAGAAATCCTTGAATCTCCCGCTATAAAAATGCCTGCTGTGGCTAGAGAAAGAAAAAATAAAAACAAAAAATAAATAATAAATAAATGCCTGCTGGTACAAAATRGTAACAAGAACTAACAGAGAAACTAAACTTTGAYCAAACTATCAAAATAAACAGAATAATTACTTTGAATTAACATGTAAAAATAATAAAAGCAGGTAAACCAGTGGAAAATCTAGAATGATCAAATACGTATTCTGAGTCTGAAAACCAAAAGGCCTCCRGGAATCTTAAAAAGCTGCATTTTCTAAAGTTAAGATGCATCTGTGCTACAAGATGTCAAACGCCGTGCGCCACATGCGTTACTGTTTGTTTTGATCACCATAGCAACAAGGCATCCATCAGCGTCGGATGTAGGTTAAACCAGATTAGCAGCAGATGCAATTTAAAACTGTGAAGAAAAAAAATAGTTTCTCCCTTTTTAATAACTCTTGAACCTCGTAAAAAGAGACAAACAACTCTCATATTACTTTGTTCTCTGACTTTACAAATACTTGTCCAAGTTTTCTTCTTTCTTTAAAACTTGGTTCAGCGGAGGATTCAGACCCCAGCTGTGACTCATTTCACCGCCTCTGCGTCTCCCAGGCTGCCATGACTTCCACAAGTCATCCTCGGCGATCGCAGGAAGACAAACCTCCCATTGCACGAAGAGCAATAACGGCAACATCTGTGAGGCAGCTGATGTTTACTCTCTGTCTGATGCCATCTACAAAGCAGGAGTAACTTTTCTTTAACTCTAACCAAAGGGGGGGAAAACAACAGATAACCTCCTGCCTTTATCTTCACCGCAGATTACACAACAAGATTTGATCCGTGATCTCAGTCTCGCTCTCGGTAACGAGCAAGCGCAGACGTGACTAATCTTTTAAAGGAAGCTGTGAGATAAATACTGACCCATGCAACACATGAGCATTACCAGATGTGCCCGACGATCCCTCTCGGTCTCAAGCAGGTACTTCATCCTGCGCAGCCCCTCCGAAAGCTCAGGTAGATGGATATCGTGTGAATCAAAGACTGAGGGAGCTGCAACAGTCTCCCTGATCTCCTCTGTATGTGGAACAGCCTCTGAGGCAGCTGGAACTCCCTCTCTCTCTCATTCAGAACGAGTCCTGTCAGGTACTTGCTAATTTGACTTTCGATGCGATTTTGTGTTTATCTAGCAGCAGCCAATAAAAGCAGATGAAGAGAAAATCTTTTTTTTTTTTTTTCAAATCAAAGATATACATGACTTGTGTCCAATTCTTTCAACTTTTTCTCATGAATCGGATTGCACAGAAACAAATTTTAGGTTGCAATCAAGGAGGATGCATCACTGACTGCGAATACTGACAAGATAACTTTGTTTCGTCAACAAGAAACATTCTAGTTAGACGAAAATGGTTTTAAGATAATTCTCTTTCGGTAGCCAATCAGTGAACACAACTGTAAGGGTACCAAAGAAAATCAAAATCAACATCCTGAAAGATAAAACATGAAAAAAGCCAATAAGGATGAGTTGTTTTTCCAGGGAGTTTTCCTGTTCAAACACAATATTTCGCCTTCATATTCTGCTGAATCTCAATGTTGTTTCATAAATATTTGTCTCTGTAAAAAAAAATGTTGTATTTCACAATCATATCTTTACCTAACTGTGCGCGTATATAWAAAAAAAGTTATCACAAAAGCTGATGATGAACTTATAATATTATAAATCCTTCTGAATTATCATAAAGCCTAAAAATACATTTCCATAATAACAAAAGACACTTGGGAGTCTCTGCAGATTTTTCCATTTAGTTCAGCTAAAAATAGTGCAGCTTAGAAAGTGGGCTCTGATAATTATTCTGCTTTAACATCAGGTACAAAATGGAACATGAAGCACATTAAAGTAAGTCAAAAATTGTAATTATAAACAGCTCTGGTTTTTAATAGTACCTTTTTTCTCTCTCTACAAATCACTGTATATTGRTATTGTTTTCTTCAGACATTCACACAAACAGAGCTTTCTATTATATGTTTTTACACACTATAGGTTCAATGTCTGGCCTGAGGACATTTCAGCACATAGTAGAAACTGTGGGACCCTCAATGGAAAGACAGCTAACTGGGCTGGCCCCCCAAAAATGAAGACAATATGGCAACTGAATCTGTCCACATCAGATTGTTCTGATATTACTGAATCAAGAGGAGCAATGCTTCACACATTGATCATTTTCTGACACTTTATGAACTCACTTTGACATCAGCTCCAATTAGACCAAGTAGCAAACTAAACCCAGTTTAATCCAAAACAGAATAATGGAAAAGAGCTAAAAGTATAAAAGTGTGTACTGTGTTTCCTGTACTGTTAGCACCTGTGCTTCCTAAAAATGAAAGAAATTGTTTAATTTGAGTTTTATAGTGTGCCCTCTTGAGGATCTTCTCGAGAATGAAAAGTCAAGAGTGAACTTTGATAAAGTTTGGATAAGTTTCCCAATAATACTTTGTTAATCACTTAATCGAAGCAAAGTAGTGCAGATATCAAACAGCAAACAAACAACCTCTGACCTCCAAACGGTGACAAGTGTGATCCCACACATATAATTCCCTCTTAGTACACAACTTTATCACCCTTATCAAACRCATTATCAAATCTTAAGCAGCTGTAACTGCATGAGTTGGACTTTAGCTGTTGACCCGTTTCTTTAGATTTAATTAGCTTAAGTAAATAAAGCTTTCAGTAATGTGACTTGTCATGTTAATTATTAGTGAAACACACTTTTTAGGTGGTTTCAGAGGCTAAAAAAATGCAACATTATCACAACATTTAAATTTCAACTTAGATACATAAGAAATCAAAATTTTCTGTTTGTGGAAAAGCTTGCATAAAACTAAAAGTGGAAGCTCAACCTTAAAGCAAAACTTTAAAATCTAAACAACTATTGTTATTAACGAAACAAGCAAACAACATTTTCATGTGAGAAACTTCAGAGTGAATATAGAATCATTAAACAGCAAATCAGCTGATGCTCATTTAATATTAACAGTTTATGCGAGACCAGTTATCATGGTGTAATATCAAAGACTTTTTTCCATCTAAAATCCAATAAACAGTCACAGACTTGTGATCTGTTTCCATAAGAACCACCTGGTGACAGCTGGGTTCTGCTAAGATCAAGTTATTGAATAATCATTTTAACCACATGTCTGGGAACAGCACAAAACGTGTTAATTACCAACTTATTTGAAAGCCTGTACAAAAACAAAACAAAAAACTGATTGGCCAGCAATATACCTCATTTAGCATTCGAACTTACACCACAAATCATTAGGTTAAACTAGTAAGTAATCAGATGTGTTAAGTAACAAAGTAATTATACTTTCAGTCGAATTTACTTCAACTCCTTATATGTTCACACAATAATCTGTACTTTCTCTTTAACCTTTACATTTAAAAAAATGCAAGAAGTGAATCCTATTTAATTTTTTGCTTGTTTTCATTCTAGCTTTTTCTTTTTTTAAATAATAAAAACTTATTCAGATAAATCTATTACAATCCATTCAGTGGTTTATGGGATATTTTGCTTGCTGTTGTGCTCAGCAATGAAACAGGCTGCCTCAGACACTTATTTGTAGATCTTAGTCAAGCACATGTGCATAGCTATAAATAGCCATGACCCTAAACCATGCTGCCCCTGAAACTACATGCCGCATAACCTTTCCCACTCAGGTGACATCTAACATATGCATGGAGCCCTGAAGGAAAGTCGTGCTTTTTACACCAAATGTTTTACCTTCTCTTGGACAAGGAACAAAGCTTAAAGTTTGTTTTCTACTCCAGCCCTCTGCTTTCTGGATGGTTTATTTACTATAAAACATTTCAAATGTTACATGTTGCTTTAGATTGAACTTTTAGACCCTAAAGCAGAGTTGTGTCTCTATGTTTGTGTTACTAAACTGCTTTCAACAAACCGTTCTAACCAGTTGCAGGACAACCTACTGCAATTTAAACCTGCCATTCATTGCTTCACAACCTTGTTTAAACAGCCGAAGGGATATGAAGATGCTTTTTTGTTTTTTAATAAAGTTTGGCATCTTTGTTTTAAAAATCCTCACAATCGGAGCGGTGCAAAGTCAGAAAGTCCTAGTAATCAAAATCCAGCCTGTGTAATCCTCTTGACCTTGTGTGGAAGGAAATAAAAACATTCGGACTAAACCTGAAGGCCTCAACCTTCACATCAGTGACAAGGACTCACTAAAGCCTTTCAGCTAAACAGATATGTAAGCAAATCCTCTTTTATCTGCATTGAGTATAAGGCAAAAGAGCAGTAAAATGTAGGGCATTTATAACCACTTTAAGGGAATGAATCCTGGCACAAAAAAGTCAATTTT